AGGGTCCTGATGTGCCTCTGAGTCCTCTGAATTTCCCAGCTCCTGACACAACAGGGCAGCTTGTATTTCTGCCTTGTGCCCATGGCTCTGAGCAAATATTTAGGCTGGATTACCCCGACCTATCTCGGGATACCCAGATAGTGCCCAGCGCTTGCTGTCCCTGCGAGGAGGTGTGAAGGTATTTCTAGGGTAGCTCGTGGCCAGAGGTGTCACCAGCGACACAGCAGCTCTTGCTCAGACCCTTGTTTGCCTAATTGGAGCACGTACAAGTGTTGCAGGTGAGCCACGAGACAAATCTTCCTTGTCCTCTTTGGAGAAGACCCTGGTCTGGTGTCTGCTGCTGCATCACATAAGGGAGCATCTTTAGTGAAAAGGTTGCCTAGGTGGCCAAGATGAGTGAGTAGAGGCCACCAGCCAGGGCTCCTCTCATTCCACAGCATCCCATGCTGGTCTGTAGCTCCGGCTTTTTTTTCCTCACTCGTTTKTTCAACCCCTTTTGCCCTGCTGAACTTGAGTGTCTACCTTGGGGCTTCAACCCAGGCTCTGTGCTTGGGCTAAGCTTTGAAGCTGGCTCTCTGCCTGGCACGGATCAGAACAKGGGCACCTTGCTGGGAATGAGAACCTTTCCTATTCTTTATGCATCTGAGATGAAGGAGCATGAGGTGAGGCCTGTGCAAGTGCATCTCAGGCCAAGCACGTGAGGCTTGATGGGTCTCATCTTGCTGCTTGTCTCAAGTTCAGCTCTCTGAAATAGTGAATAGTATAAGCCCTACCAGTTTCTTGTCCTTATGACAATGCCAGAGTGGTTTCTTGAGCAGATGAGGATACCTTGTCCAAGGCCAGCTCCTGCCCAGCTTTGTGGCTGGCTGAGAAGCCCAGCTCCTGCATGGGAGAGGTTTCAGAGCAAGTTTTGGCAAGCTAGCTGGCTCTTCCCTCGCTTGTTTTCAAGCCTCAAACTCTCCTGGGCTGCTGGTTTGCAGACTGAGGAGCCCCTGCGTCCTCCCCAGCAGATGTGATGGGGTTTGCCGGTGGCTGAGAGTCTCTTCAGGAGCTTTTGTTTACAGCAAATGTGCTGGAAACGCCGTGAGTTTCCTGGCAGCCAAGAGGCTCCTGTGAAGCTGGCTCCCCTTGCCTGCTATGGGGTGTGTGTGCGTRCAGTTAATTGGAGCCAGCCTAACGAAGGGGCCTCCACCAGGTGCAAGGACAGAGGACACCCCAGCGGTGCCGTTGGAGCTGCAGTGACAGGGCTGTTTGCCAGCTCTGCCTCTCGCAGCCGTGCGCTCCGGGTCCTCCCTGGGCGAGTAAACGAGAAATTAGCTCCGTGCTTTGTGAGTCAGCGCGGAAATGATTTCTTYAAGAAATGAGTAGCTTGTCTGCAGTAACTAAGTGGATTTATCTGAAGTTGCTGGAACGTCAGCAAATGCCACTTTGAGGCGGTCTCGCTGATACTGCTGCAGTCACTTGTCGCAGAGCAAGTTGTTTAAGGAACAGRCTGCGGTGATGGACAAGGCTGTCACGGGATCGCTGGGGCCCGAAACCCCAGGAGCAGAGACCAAGTGAAGCCATTGCAGTGGCTCGCTGTGAAGGCCCAAGGTAGAGGACATCTGTACTGYGGGCTACAGCTGAAGAACCTCACCAAAACCAGAAACTGCTTGAGCAGAAATCTGTTCCCTTGTTGTGAAGCTGGTTAAGATAGTGAGTGCCCGTTTTGTTTTTAACTGGGTTAATGAGCCTTTCTTTTGGCATGACTTAGTGCTCAGGTCCCCACTGTAGAGCAGGGGGCCTCACCAGCAGAGGCACTAGCTGCCTTGGGCTACCACTGAGCTCTCGCAAACGACCTCTCTTCCCCCCTGAGGACCCTGGGCTTCATCTGTGTGCAAAGCTGCTGTTCTGCCTGGCAAAGGGCTACCAGGCAGTCAAGGAGACCGGGCAGCTGAGGAGGACTCTGAGCAGCTCTGCCTGAGAACCATCCGTTGCCTTCCAGGTTCCACCGTTGGAAGCTGCAGCTCTGTGTCCGTTACTACTGACGGGGCTCTGTGGTCAAGCCAACAGTTCCCTGCTTTTCCTGTCCCTCCAGGCTGTCTGGGGCCTGTGGACGTTCAGGAGGCAGGAGGGTGGACGCAATGCAGTGAATTGTCTTGGAGGAGGCCACGTTCCCTGTCCTAAGGTAGCCCAACTCTAGGGCAGGAGGGGAGAGCTTTGCTGTCAGGAAGGACAGCAGGGAATGGAGCAGCTGTGAGATGCTTGGCAGGGTTTGATAGTGTACCTGCTCTTGGGGCAAGGTATGGGAGGGTTTTACTAGCTCTGAACTGGCTCCTGGACCTCCCAGAGAGGTTAGGCCAAGCTGTAGATGTTGGAGTAAGGGGAGAAGGCTTGAGGTCGGTTGTCTGTTACCTGCTGCTGTGCCCTTAGTGCTCTGCCACATCTGGGCTTCCCGAGGCATGGCAGGAGCTTCTGTTCCAACTCAGGGCAGTTTCCTCTGTTGTTTGTGTAGGTCTCCTYGGTTGTCTTGAGCCACCATGTACACAGTGGCTTCCACTTGTGCTCTGGAGGCCGAGCAGAAGTGTCAGAGCTGCACATGCCCCAAGCCTGTAGCAGAAGATGCCACCCCTCCTTACGTTTCTGGGGTGGGTAGAGGGACTATGTGAGGTGACTCAGGGAAGAAAGCCCCCAACTGTGCTGGAGATGCTGCCTCACACTCACTCTTTGCCCTGTTTTGCTCGGTGTCCCCAGGGAGATGTAGCTGACTCCTTAGTTCTGCTCCTTCCTGCCTCAGCAGTGAGGAGCAGCCTCAGGAAGCWGGAGCAAAGCTGGAGCCCCGAGGCTGTGAATGTGTCTTAGGCAAAGCTGGAGGGCTGGGAAGCTGCTGCGCAGGGATGGGGGTGGAGAGGGCCGTGATGAACAGGGTTAATCTCAAGTGAAGCAAAATTACAGGAAGAAAATTGGAACAAATAATCCAGTTATTCTCCAGGCCCAATAATAAACTGCTGAAATCCAGATTAATGTTGTACCATGCCTATAAGGTTTCTCTCTCTCAAAAAAGTATTTCTAGCTTTAAAATTTCAGCTGTGCTGTAGCATGTTGTGGGTTTTGCAGGATGGTGCTCTRTTCTGTTAAGTTGCCTTGCCCAGGAGCACAGGGAAACAGCCACTGTGTGCAGCTCCTTGTGCTGCTCGAGTCAAAGCCTGAGTCCTCATCTTGGCTTTTCCTGCCAGTGTAACGGGCCCTGGGCCACAAGTGGACACTAAGCTACAGCTGGTRGAGGACTAAAGGTTTGAGCTGATGCCCTTGCTTGGAGGATACGTGTAAAATGTGAGGGGAGGGAAATGAGCAGCTTTTATGGATCTTGTGTCTTTCTCTGTTGTAGAGTGAGTCCCTGGGGAAAGAAGCATGGAAGAGCTGCAGGCAGGGAGGGGAATCACGTCCCCGTGTTTTACTGAGTACCAGCATTTGAGAATTTGGCGTCAAGTCAGTGATCCATCCAATCTCAGAAGATGACTGGGCAAGCCCAGCTTTTTCTTGCTCCAGTTGTGCAAGAAGAGGGATAAAAACCTAGTCTGAACTAGTGCTCAGTAAACACTGTGCTTGTTTGTTTGATCTTCCCCCTGTTCCAGGCCCACTTTGGAGTCCTCTTCCTGCCCTGTTCCACATGCCATCTCGGTGACATCTCAGTTGAAGACAGGAGGGTGCTCAGGGGGATGAGGTGCCTGCCCCTTTTTGATGGCGGATGCTGGAGAAGCACCATTAGGAAAAGGGCTTAGAGAAGGTCCTGTGTTCACATACATTGCATTTATTTCCGAGCTAATTGCTTATGTTCTTCTTTGAATGGTTTTATGCTCTTCTGTGGTAGCCTCAGTGATGCCTTTAGGGAGCCTTGAGTTTAGGCGCTAGTAAGTAAAAACTAGGACCTGACTTTTCTATGGGGAAATGCTCTTGGGCACTGAGGTAGTTTCATGCCTGGAAGGAACCCTATTTGCTGAATCATTTTTATAAYTTACAACAACCAGATTAGCCTTGGGGAAACCATAGTTCCTCATCAGAATATTCTCTACGGTCTCTATACTCTGTTAGTTACAAGCATCACGAGCCCACTTGCTCAAGGGATGCAGACTTGGCTCGYGAAGTTGGGCAAGTGGCCTGGTTTTGTTGAACCTCAGAGCTGCAGCGACGTCCAGGTCCAAGGCTGTGGATAATACTGAGTGCCTAGGACCTGACCGGGGATATATTTGACCAGTTCTCTCCTTGGCACAAAATGAAGTGGCTAAGCGACACACTCAGTGCTGTCTGCCCACCCAAAAACTTTTCAGGAGCAAGAAGGGCAGTCTTCAATAGTCATAGTGGTTTGGTCAACTGTTCCCATGCCGATTCAGTGGTCTTCCCAGAAACCTCCATCTTGGGCTGGGAGAGGCAAGGTGTCTTGCGAGAGCTGCTGACTAGGAKGAACCTGGCTGCTGTTGAGGGTGTGCATGGCACAGGACTACAGGCTGCCTCCGTAGCTTGGGAGAGGACCTTCTCGGTCCCCCATGTCAGGAAGGTGGAGTCTTCAGAATAGTRTGAACCTCTTGGGAACTGCTGCTTGGTTTTCTTTCCAGCCACAAGCGCAGATGAGAAGAGAGCAGGGTCAGTTATTGATGGGGATAGCTAAGCACGTGCCAAGTCTTCCTGTGCTCTTCCACTTAAGGGAAGTTAGATATCTCCTCATGTTCCCCTCCCTGTTAYGACCTTACCAGTACCACTGGCCTGGACTTTTTGCTCTCCTCTTGTACGTGGGATGGTTTGTGTCTGCACGGAAGAGCTGTGTGCACAGAGCCTGGTATTGGGACCAGCCAAAGAAAGGGGAAATGCTCCTGATCAGGCCCTTTGATCTGTACCATGATCCACCTGCAGTGTAGATGTAATTTGTGGCGTGTGTCTGGCACTGAGACTTCAGCTCGAGTTTCCTTGTGGATTTTACAAGCCCCCAAATCCTCCTGGATTTTTTATTCCAGGAAACCTGACCGATGGCCGCCAGCAACCTCCACCCATCTGTGGCATCCTCCAAGACATCCCATGGATTTCAGAGCAAAGTGGTGGCACCTCGTAATCCCAAGCTGGTCAAAGAGGCAGAAAAGTCTGTAACTGTAAGTATGTGCTGTGCCTTACCTCACGTTAGGGCTGGCAGTCCCCAGCATGTCCCTCCTSTGCCTTTCTCCTCGTGTCTAGCAGCACTACCACACTAGACTTCACCTTCCCCTCTGGTTGCTGGCCCCTTTCTGATGGAGGTGGCTGTTCTGGTGCCACAGGGGATGGATTGTGTGCTGCTCTAAGGTGAAGTCCACGGTCTTGGCTCCCAAGGCAGCCACAGGCAAATTAAAATGATGTGCTGGATGTTGCACTGAATAGCTGAAAGACCAACACATGCTTCCTTCCATCCCATCTGCTGTGTAGACAGTAACATCTTCATCATGTTGGTGTATTTGCCAGTGCTGCTCTGACCATATCTCATAGCAGCAGGATATGAGGTGGGCTGCTTGAACTGCCCTAAGATGGAAGGAGCAAGGTCCAAGATAGGTCTCCAAACCAGTCATTTTATACTCTCACATGCTGTGCAGATCCAGCCTTGGRAGCAGTGATGGAATCGGGGCAGTCTCTCGTCCCCGTTGCCACCTGTCCCTTTTGMCTGGAGCTGGCTTTGACTGAAGGTGACCCAGCACTAAGCCTTGGTCAAGGAGCTATYGCTCTGTGAAGGAAACTGTGGGGCCACCCCGGAGAGACTGTGAGCACTTACTAAAAGTGAGATGATTAACACTTGGACCTCTTCTTCTGCACCTCCCTCTCAGCTTTCCTGTGACTCACCCAGCAGTGATGGCCCCACATGCAGCTCCCTTGTCCCCGTTGTACAACACTGGAGCGGGGCGATTTCTCACACTGCTGCTGCCCTGCAAAGGTCACCAGCTCAATGCAGCCAAACTCGAGAGGAAGCAAATGCCCAAAGAGCAGCAAGCTCCATTCATGTCAGATCGAATCAGGAAGGAGACACAAATAGGCTAGAGCCTCTCCGTTAGAGCTTGTGTGTTCTGCTCTATATAATTAATTTACTGCCATTAAATATTTCATCAGGTAACTTAGAGGACTTCCAGGACTAGCCTAGTGGCTGTGATCACAAATTATTCATCGGTGGCGCTTTGACAAGAGGGAGTCTTTCCTAACACAGGCCTTGACGTAGCTCATGCTGGGAGTGTTTTGCCTTTCAGCTCACTCCCTCTGCCTTCCTGAAGGAGATGTCCCTCACCACAGAGCAGAGGCTGGCTGGCACTCATGAGATGAGGCGGCCCCGCATCATCCAGCTTCTGGACATGAGTGAGACTTCGCATCAGAAGGTAGCGCTTTCCCCTGCCCTCTTTTCTTGCTGTTTGATGTGATGTTTAGAGTGAGCACGTGTGACGGTCTTGTCTTCAGCTTCTCTGGATACCTCCCTGACCAGGACAGAGCTCTGGAACGGGCTGCCCAGGGAGGTTGTGGAGTCTCCTTCTCTGGACGTCTTCCAAACCCGCCTGGATGCAGCCTGTGCCCCGTGCTCTGGRTGTCCCTGCTGGAGCAGTGGGTTGGACTAGATGATCTCTAGAGGTGCCTTCCAACCTCAGCCATTCTGGGATTCTGTGACCTGGCACTGTTGGCCTTTCACACTACTGGCAGTGGTGGCTCTCCCACCTTCTTCCCGCCTTGTTCTGGGGGCAGAGGCAAAACTCCCACCTTGCCAGGGAGCTGAAGGGCAGCTGTGAGCTGCGTTAAGCTGCTAGTAAAAGTATATTTAAAATTCTGCTAAAATCRGTGGGTTTTGCTAAAGCAGAGTGGGAAGGGAGGATGGGACGGCACAAGGGCTTACCCTGCTGCTCTCCTGTGCTTCCTCTGAAATGGCCCCCTCTTCTCTTGCTTTGGTATAGTCACTGTCATGCTTAGGGCCCCCTCTTGCCACTGGGGCCTTTGAAGAAAGAGGGCTGTGGGCCACGTGGCAATTTCTTAAGGCATTTCCAAAGCCACAGCTTCACTGGTGCTGCAGGCAAAAYGAACGTGGGGACCATTGAGGGCTGCTAGATCTGCAGGGTGCTGTAACACGTAGCAGGGAACACCTCCCTGAAGGAGTGCAGGGATGTGCTTTAGTTAGATGGATGTTTAGTCAGATGGATGTTTAAAGCTGCTTTAAGGACTTAAGGGACCTTAAGGGCTCTTAAAGGACTGCTGAGCCCAAAGGGGGGATTTGAGGTTAATGCTGCTGCAGAGAGCCTGGAAGGCATCAGGCTTGTGCACAGGTACCTGGCAGTGGGCTGCAGCCACAGGCTTCAGCCTGACCAGGACTTCCCGGGATCATGGAAGGTCGTTGGAATCTCGGTGGCATGGGAGATCTGCTTGTCTTTGTCCTGAGAACACCGGACATCTGGAAAAGAGGAAAAGCAGGAGGCGTTTTCTCAATCTAATGCTTCTCTCTTGCTAGAGCTGTAACCCATTGCTTTGYGTGGCTGCGTGTGTTTTGAGATGTGCTGCTGCAGCACTATTAAATAAAACAACTGAAATGGAATGGAAAAAGGCATTTCTCCCTCCAATTTAAAGTTCGTGGAGGAAGAAGATGCCAAGTCTAGTTGTTGAGATAYGAGTTGAACTAGCTGAACATCCGATATTCACTTCTTTCTTCCCTTATGCTGCTTGCCTTCCTTCTTGCAGTCATGTTCTGTGCCAGCTAATCTCCATGTTTCATACTTCAAGAAAAATAAATTAAGGACCAGTTTCAGAGTAAATCTCTTACCCAGTTTATCTWTTAGTACCCCAAAGATGTTCTTGTATTTCAGTTGTCCATGGCTTCTCACAGCCCTTCTGGTAAGTATTTTAGAGCTGCATGTCTGCATTAGCCTAGAGTTGAGCTTGAGATGGATTCTGCTTCTCTTTCCAGAGATGCTTGGCCAAGCTGCTGCTTAGCCTGAGCCTGCTTAGTGGGGCCTGCTAGCTCTTGTTCAGCTCMACACAAGTGACCTGCAGTTTATGTGGTAGTCTGGGCAGAGCTACACCCCAAGMGGCTGCATCTCGCTGGATTCTCAGTCACGCTCATCCTCCCAGCAGCTGACCTCTCTGCTGTGTGTCCCGCTTTCCAGTTCTCAGCGCTCGACCTCGAGCAGAGCTTGTTCCAGCCGTTCCCCTCGGAGGTGGTGTTTCAGAACTACGTCCCCTGCGAGGTCTACGAAGTGCCGCTGGTTCTGAGGAACAACGACAAGGTGAGCGAGGCCAGCATCGCATTGGAGAGCAGCACAGCGCAGCCAGCCGCCTGCTGTGGGACAGGACACCGGGATAAAAATCTCCCCACCTTGCTCTGGAAAGAGAGGGGAAACCCTTCCAGGTCGCTGAGSGGAGTTGCCCTTTGATTTCTCCCATGCGTTGGTGGAATCTGTCCCAAAGGGGCTTTTCCTGTTGAGCACCTTTCCCCTTGAAAAGGCTTGAGGGGAGAGCTGGCAGTGGGGGGCTTGTGTGCTGCCTCTCTATGCTGTCACTTGTCACCGAGCATTGGCATGGACAGGGATTGATTCTTCTCTCTGCTAAAATAATCTTGAATTAGTGACATTACCTCCCAAGAAAAGGGGATTTGAGTCAGCTGGGCGAATGGGCTGATACAACAAAAGGGATGGGAGGCCTTTAGGATCCGCTTTAGGTTCCTTCTAAGCTTAATTCAGTTCTGGTTAGGGCTTCTCAAAGACCCTGTGGCTCTTTCTCTTCCCTGTAGAGAGCCACAGCTCTGCAGAGCACTGTGCTCTTCAAGGTCTCTGCCTTTACGTGGAATAACGTAGCAATCATTGAGATTCCCCAATAAAGTTGAGAAGGGAGAAGTTGAAACATGTCAGCAGTTTTGTTCCAGCGCCAAGAGGAAAATGGAGATCTTTTGAATTTCAGCAGGGGAAACATTTGCTCAAATGAGGCATGTGCCAAGAGCAAGCTGGTGGGAAAAGACAGGAGMGAGGGAAGGAGACAAGATAAAAAGCGCTCTGGGAGACAGTATTGAGCACCCAAGGGTTTTGCTTGACATGCAGTAATAAGTATACTGGAAGCAGAGAAGGTCAGCATGGAAAACAAGAGGGATGTAAGAAGTGATCAGATTCTGTGCTGTAATGAAAAAGCTTRTAGGTAATTGAATGCAAGATGTATGCAGGAGAAGAGGACTAGAGGGAAACTGGGGGAAGTGAACAGGAGGGGGGTGAAAGTAACCCCTTCCATAGCTACCTGCAGGGGAAAATAAGCAGATGGACCAAGTTGTCAGGGAATATTGCAGGTGGAAGGAAAATGAGAAATCAAGTACACCCTGAGATAAGAGGTTTTGACAGGGATGAGGTTGAAAATGGGTAGCACTTGGGCAGGGAAGGATGCAGACGTGGTCCCTCCTGTTATTCTCGGTGCTGCTCCATCCGTGGCTGGGGTTTAGCAGGGGCACATAGAGAAGATGCAGCGTGATTTCCCACGGGGTATCTGCCATGTGCTCTGCAGTGTGAGCTGGGCAAGTCAGCTGATATCTTCTTTCCCAGCCAAACATGTCTCAATCCCTGTTTCTCAGCTCCCTTTCCACYAAGTCCTCTGGCTCTTAGGCACTGTTATCCCTGCAGCACTTGCAGATGCCAGTCTTTGCTCCCAGCCAACAGGAAAACGATTAATTTGTCCTGTTTATGCTTCCTCACCTGGAAAAGAACATCCGCATCAAGATATCTGCTGTTCCCAGTACAAAATAATCAACTTGCACAGCTGCACCTTGGGATTCTGCAAGCGGGAGGCCATGTAGGAAGCGTCCATCTCCCTCCAACCTCACAAATAAATTAAGTCTTATGATTTAAGACCTTAGCCATTGGACAGCACAGGTTTAGGCACTGGTGTAAGGCAAGGATAATCCTAAGGAAGAACTTTGTTGTATTTTAGTGCATAGGATAGAGATGGGAAATCCAAGAATGGGTTTTGCATTTTAGTTTGGGGGCTTTTGGTAGCATCCTGGAGAGAAGTTCTCTCTTAGGCCATAAAGTTCACTGGGTTCCCTGGTTTCTTTTGGATGATATTCGGCAGCCTGAGCTTGTCTGCTCTGTATAAATCCAGCTAACAGAGTATTCCAGATGGAGCCTGCATCACCATTTGAATAGAGACGTGATTCAGTCTATACTTATTGCTCTTATTTGCGTGTTGGAAAAATTGCTTTTTCTCTGTATTCAGGCTGCTGCTGCTTCCATCACGCTCCTGGGGGTTGTTTTGGGAGGCTTCTCCTGGAGGTCTTGGGGGATTGGCAGTGTCCTTCCCTTCCCGGCCTCTCAGCAGCTGACACTTGTGTGCAGTGTGGGATTCTTCCTGCAACTCATTGTCCTGGGGTATTGCTGAGAGCAAAGGGCTTGCAAAGAGCCTGGCACTGCTGTGGGTTACCAGGCTGCTGAGTAAAAAAAATTCCCGAATTTCAGGATTTTTTTTTTCCTCAGGTCTCACATGGGTTCATCAATGAATGGGCTGTCTGCCAGGGAAACCGCCCGTGTGAGGTTTTCCCAGATGAGATTTGGTGCTCGGGAGCTGATACCCGGGTACCCCCAGAGCCCTGTTTGCTTCCTCTGTGTTTCCCAGTGTCCAGGGCTTGCTGCAAGATCCCCGCYGGGATTCCTGGGCACTGGGAGGAAAACTCAGGAAGCGGCTTTGGTGCTATGGCAGCTGCCTGGCTGTGATCACCCGGTGCCTCTGGAGAGCCCAGCCTGGCTCTTCCTAACAAATCCCTGCTCTGAGTCAGTACTAGGCGGGTACCTCAAAGCAGAAAAGACCTTCAAGCCCATAATGGATAGGCACAGCCCGGGGCGGGTAGGATGCAATGGCAGCCTGGCTTTTCATCACTTTGCCTGCTCGTCTTCTCCTCCCTTTCCTTTGTGGGCTGTCATGGTTCTTCTCTACTGCCTCTTTACAGGCCCTCCTTGAGGAGCTCTCAGCCAGCTCCYTCTCCCTGTTTTCTGGCTTGTCGTTTGCCTTGTTGCACTTGTTTGTATTCCCAGCATAGCCACGATGTCTGTTTTTTTTGCTGCTTGCCTCACCTGCTTGTCCCTGTAGTACATCAGCTTGTCTACCCCACGCAACCCCAGGACACAAAGTGAAATTTCCTCTGTGCCCCGGTGTAAAAAAAATGCTGCTTTGGCTTCAGATAATACATCCCCCCTCCAGAGGCACATCTGCATCTGTGTGCAGGCAGCAGCAAGTTGTCTGCAGGTGTCTGGGCTTGCTGAGCAAGTCACATGTTCCGTGACTACCCTCTTGGTGTGTTTTCTGATGGAGGTTCCCTTGCAGCACACCTGAGCTCTGATAGCCCCTGTCTTTGAGCTGTCCTGCTTGGGAAGGATGGATGCAAGTCCATCTTTGTGTGTTGCGTGCATATCCTTACAGGGATAAAAGTGCTTTGGGAAGATGCTTAAGGAAGCACTTTCCCTTGGGAAGGTTATCTCCTTGGTATGGACTAATGGTTTATTTGTTTCAACGAGGGTTGCATAACGGTTGTTTTGTCTTTCCTGCAGATTCCTCGGCTGGTGAAGGTCGTCTTGGAGAGTTCTCCTTATTTCAAGTTGATCAGCCCCAATGATGTGTGTCATAAGGTAGCACCTGGCATGCCCTCAACTTTCCGCATACTTTTCACTCCCGAGGAGAACAAGGTGAGGCTGTCAATCCCRAAATGTGGAATATGAACTTGCATGGCTGGATTCAGAAAGGGGATGTGGCWGTGATTTTGAGGAACTCTCCTAATTTCAGGAGATGCATTGTATATGGAACAGGGGGAATGCTTCCTCCATGGTCAGGATTATCTTGTTAGGCTCAAGGCTCTTACCTCTTTGAGGCTGTTTTTATCCTTCAACACTGGAGCAATTTAGTGCAATGGCTTTGGGGTAGGTCCTCCCCTGTCCATGGAAGAACCTCTGTAGATGTTGGTTTCTGGTCTTGCTTGCTGCGCGGGCATGGAATTACTCTGCTTGTTATAGCAATGGAAGTCTGTTTTTGACCTGTTACTTGAAGGACACGGATGATGTCTGAAGGAGGGTCACCACCATTGAYAACTGGCATCAGTTTAGCCTGTGTCACGTTTGGACACCCCTGCTTCATGAYCTTGGGCTCATTGCATCGTGGTGGCATCTGGTGCTGTTAGTCATTGCAGGGACCTGCCTGGCTCTGCCTTTTCTCCCCGAGGAAGTTGGGCCTTGGAGAAGGAAGAAGCACCCGGAGCAGTAGGGAAAAGACATGGAGGGCTGTAGGGAAGACGATTTAGCTGAGCTTCTACTCAACAGAAGAGGCCTSATCATGATATAAAATCCTCCAGGAACAAATAGAACTGGAGGTGGCTCTTCTTTCCCCATTAGGGGAGGCACTTGTGTGCCTCACCCYGGGCTCGGGAGCTCTCCGAGGCCTCTCCTCAGCAGGGTGCTGCAGCCCCCTTGGGAGACACCGGCCTGGAAGGGAAAAACCAACAGGCCCCATCTGGCCTGCTGTGGGGTAGAGGGGCACACGCTGTTCTTCCCGTGGCCTGTTCTTCACAGAGGTAACGCTAGGGGATGGCGTCAAGCCACCTGATCCTCCTCTGTGAGGAGGCAGGTGAAAGGCCTCTCTGGGAATGTGTTTTGCTGCTTGGTTTTCATTGTATTTAACTCAGGGAGCTGTTTGAGGTTGGGAAAGCCAGACTTAAAGAGGAAATGCCCCAAGGTTCCCAGCTCCMCACGCTTGTGGAATAATTTGTTCGTCTGGAGGGACTGAGAAATTATTAAACATTAATATGTAGAGTAAAAAAAAAAATTCTGTTGGCCTAGGGCAGTTCTCCCAACTACCCACGTGATAGGAGCTTCATCTCGTCGAGGTAGGCTTTGCAAAATATTCTGGTGCTATGAAAATATAATTTATTAACATTAATTAGGAAGTATTAATTTTGGTAGTGGAAGAAGCAACTAGGCCTTCCTGAAGGGTGAGGTGCTGCTGGTCAGGTTGAAAGGCAATAGAGCAACATATGGACATCCCAAACGGACGCAGGGAGAAACAACTCTCTTCTCACCCTGGAGAAGAATAACACCCAACACTTGTCCCTCATCTTGCTCCTTTGCCAACGAATGCAACCTTTGAGGTGGYGGTGGTTGAAATGCTGCGTGTGGTGGAGGCTTCCTTATAAACAAATGAGCCATTCCCTACGGGCTTGCAGCCATTTGGGAATGTGCTACATGACTGGGCAGCCAGTAAATAARTAGCTGGAAATAGCAGTAAATAAATAAACGTTTTTGTTGATTGGCACTTGCATGATAAATACGAAACGCTGGGCACCAGTTCCAGTTAGTTGCTGCTGCTGCTTCTGATGTTTGTGGTGTTGGTTTGTGGCTCCGGTTGTAGGGTGGGGGTGTTCCCGGGTGTCCTTGCATCAGGCCCTGCCACTCGCTGCCTAATTGGGAACACTCAGAGCTGCCTGGCAAGTAAACAGGCAGGATGGCTTGTGTTTATGTGCCTCCTTCAGATCTATTAATAGGTTCTCTTTAAGGGGAAAAAAGGAAGCAGGAGAAGTATAAAGCCCTAGCTTTATTATTTCAGCTTATTCTATTTGCCTCGCTCTTCTTGCCGTAGCACTTGGGCGATATCAGTTCAGTCACTCAGGTTTGCAAAATTCATTACTGATGCCCCGTGGAGCCGGAATTAATGCTCATTGATTAATATGAAATACGACAGGACAACGAGTTATTGCATTTCTGGAATGAGCTGCTTTAAAAGTCAGTGCAGCCCCGGCAGGAGGGTTCTGTAGTGTGCAGAAGCTCCTCCAAGGATGCTCTTGAGACAAGGGTCTTGCAGGGGGACGGGAGAAGGAGGCAAATGCCCTTGCCCCGAGTGAGCAGACGACCAATTTCAAGGCATGCTGTGAATGGGTTACTGGGGAAGCTGGAAAAGGGCTGCCCCGTGCTCATGTGAAGCTGCCTTCAAATGCCAGTGCTTCTCCTCTCTCACGTCCCTTATTTTCCAGCCTTTAGGGTATTACGGCTCCAGCAGAAAGCTTTCCCTGTTTGCCTTACTATATTATCTCCTGCTGAAAGACTTTTTTTTTTCCTTTGCATTTGCCTGCTGGAAATAACTTAATGAAGTATTTAGCATCAGTTATGCAGCTAAACCGACACCTCGGTGTTTCCAGGCATATCGAGCAGTTAGGTTGACACTGCCAGAAGGAAAACACGGGTTGGAGTTGGCAGAGAGTTTGCTGTAAAACAGCAGCCCCATGGGCCAAGCGGTTGCTTTGGTTTCTGCGAGTGCCAGCTCAGATGGGGACACTTGGAGGGGCCAAACTTGCACGTTCCTGCTCATCAGAGGTGGCCRGTGAGAGGTTGCATGAGGGTCCCAAAGCCACATGCTGGTAATGGGGACAGGAGGGTGGCCTGTGTTTGCCTTTGGAAGTGGCTTATACCTGGATGAGGAATTTATCTCTTGCACTCTTGGTCGTGTTGCTGTCGACCCTCAGGCTCTTCAGCAATGACTTGGGAAATGATTTCCTTTTTTTTTCCTGTTGAATATCTCCAATTGTAGATACTTTTTTTTTTTTATCCCTCTGATCTGAACTCCTCGTATCCATCTGTCTACCTTACATCTGGAAGGGTGAGATAAGGAAATACAGCCTGCCAAGGCTTAATAAGGCATGAGCCCTTCGATTGGATTTGCTGTGCCAGTGTTATAGTAGTGTGGCCAAAACAACAGGACAAAATAAGATCTATTCTGAAGCTGCATTAGCAAATGAAGGAAAATCTGAACATCGAAGCATCTGAGCATCAAGTACTCGAGTAACAGGTGCTTTAGATTCACGTGGGCTGCCCTTAGCTTTATTTGGGAGGGTTTAGGCTGCAAGACCAAGTATAAACTTGCAAATTCAGGAGGCTTGCTGAAGATGAAACGCCCTGCTGAAAGGGGAGGTTGAAACTGCAGGCAGCTCGGCCCAGCTCCCGCTTGGGTATTTTATCCTTCTATCTATCCAAAGCTCTTCCGAGCTGCCGGGGTGAGGGGGAATATTTGATCTGCATCTCGAAAAGGCTTCTTCTCTTTTCACGTCTTGGTGACGACATCTGTAACCGGGACCCAAGGCCCAGGTGGGCGCTGGGTTTGGTGCAGTCTGTGGGTGCTGTGCCTGTCGCCCCAGCTGTGTCCGGCCTCCCTCTGCCCAAGTGGCCCTTCCAGACTTGGGGGACGTAGCCCAGATTAGGTGGGACCCGCTGTGCAGAGGAATCTGAACACAGCTCTAGCCGGGGCTCTTTGCAGCTGTGTGTGCTTCCAAAGTCAGATCACTGTAATTTGTCTGAAGCAGCAACAAGGCAAATGAGTTAAGCGGCCGGAAAAAAGGGATCTGGATTGTGTGTGGGAGTGATAAAGTGCAGTTTCTTTATCGATTTGCCAGTAACAAAGCTCCAGGGAGAAAGGGCTCCTGGCCTTATCGCAGCAGCCTGACCCCTGGTTTCAGCAGAGGCGAGATGTTTGCAGCACGGCGGTGCTACCCCGCGTGCCCAGAGACCAAAGCAGGCTGCTCAATTCTGCATTAAAAGGATTCCTCGCTATCACCGTGCGCCAGGCAGGCAGCGTCCAGCTCTCCTGATTGAGGCCRTGGCTTGGAACAGCACATTTGGGTTGGAGGTGATGGGGATGCTTGGCYGGGTCCACGGGAAGGGGTAGCCAAACATCAGCAGCTGAGCGAGGCAGATGCCCCTAGGGCTGGGCTTAGCAGTGCAGCCCAGCTGAGCTCAGTGCTTTTAATGGTCTTACCTAGTGATCAAAGCAGGTTTGTGTTACTGCTCTAATCRCCTACATGAAAATATTCCCTTTTGCTGCTGCAGAAGCCTAGTCTCCGATTTCTGTCCCGTGGCTGCGTGAGGTCGCTTGTCCCAGGTGATGGGGTGATGCTGCCTGTGCAAGGCAAGAGGCCTGCCCAAGCCCTGTTGCTGGACGAAGAGGTCCCTGGTGTAAAAAAMCTGATACATTAGGTTATGGGAGTCCATAGGAGCAGCATTGAGCATATCGTCTTCCTCCTGCTGCCCCGGGGGCTGTGCTGGGCACGCTGTGCTGAGGCTGTTCCTTTCCCCTCAGGATTACTTCCACCAGGTCACCTGCATCACAGAACGGGAGAAGTTCATTGTGCCCATCCGAGCTATTGGTGCCCGAGCCATCCTGGACTTCCCTGACCAGCTGAGCTTCTCCATGTGCCCGGTGAAGCACCTCACCTCGAGAACGCTGCTGGTTCGCAACGTGGGCAACAGAGAGGCTCGCTACTGCGCCCGCACTCGGAGGTGAGGGAGCGCTGCGCCAAACACACGTGTGGCAACGCACAGTGTGACCCGAAGGCACCAAAGAACCAGGGCTGCTGTTTTGCAGCTGGTAACGGGCAGCAAATGTGGGGCTTTGCTCTCATTTACTGCCTTTTAAGCTTGATGCAGACTGCCTTAATGGCTGCTCTGGCTGTTAGCAGGGATCCATGTCTGCTTCCGTATGTGCTATGAGAAGCTGCTCGGCTCTACTGCTGAGCTCCCAAGGGAGACCTGTGCCTCTCAACCTGCATGGCCAAGAATTGGCCACTCAACAGTCCTGACAATGTGGCTAGGGACTCAGACCATGGCCCTACTCTGTAGGTTAATATATCAYTAGCTGGCTGCTCTCTTTGAGCTAATGTCTACACGGGTTTTCRTAAGAGGCATCTTCCCAGCTAATGTTAGGGGATTAATTTCCGGGGTGTCGAGTGTAACAGAGGCTGCATCGTTTATTAACAACAGAGGTGGGGAAGATTTGGCTTAATGTGCCCCTAATTCCTATAAATGACTTCAGTAATAGCACGATGATGATGATTAATTCTCATCGCAGAGCACTGAAAATTGTGCCAGGAGCTTTGGAAATGAATGAGTTATGCTCCCTGTCCTGGAGAGCTTACAGTGGAAATATGAGATGCATAATCAAGAGTTATGGCAAAGATGCAACGAGGAAGAAAATAGTGCCAGGCTTAAAGCCTTCAATTCAACAGAGCTTTAGTCTATTCCTGTTCATCGAAGAATTGAAACAGGTGTTTGTTAAATACGTGCTTAAGAATGTGTAAGAATGCAGTGTTGTGTTAGAGACTAAATTAATATTGCTTAGTAGCTTCTTTGTGTATGTACAAACACATACCTATGAGAGGAGGAGAGGAATTACTGGAGTCAAAGGGAGCTGGAGATTTGCTTGAGCGCTGTCAGCTGGCTCTGTCTTACAGATTTCTACTGTGTAGCTCTCTGAAATGCACCATTTCTTCATTAACACAGTTGATGCAGGTTTAGTTACTGCAGCTTCTGGTTTCAGGCCCAGACAAATTCATGTTCCTGCCCATTCCCRTGTCTGCTGTTGATGCCATGGCTTTATAGTCCCTTGCATTGCTCATATCACTCTTAGTTTTGTCCCTTCCCTGGCTTTCCTCTTCTGTGRCATCAAGCCTGAGCTCTATCTGCTTTAGTCTCTGGGGCATTTTCAGCCTACCTCTTCTCCCAGCCTTTCCTCTCAGTAAGTACTAGGAGCCCAGCTCTGACCTAGTCGCTTTGTGATTCAGTTCCTCACTCAGTAGCCATTTCCTGAAGGATTTCCATGTTTTCTGTTGTGCATTTCCCTCCAGGGAAGCACTCTCCAAACACATCCATAGGGCCACCTGAATTTCCTTATGCATTTCCCTCTGCTGAGCTTTGCCATGGTGCCCACCAGAGAGAAYGATGCCTCTTGACCTCTGGTGAAGAGCCCATGCTGCAGTCTGGCCTGAACCCGTCATCTCCTTGTGTCTGCCTGCCCATAGCCAGTTCTTATTGCATAGCTTGGTAATAAAAAATAATAATAGCAATAAATATAGAAACTTTCCCCCTGTCTCATTATGAAGGCAAGGTAATGAGTTTCTTCTTCGTGACATTCAGGAAAATAAATGTCATTGCAGTACACTTGAAAAGGGTGTCTGGAAGTGGATCTACGTGCAGCACTGCCTTGTTAGCTCTGTTTTTGATGTGGCAGGTGTTGTACTGTGCCATACTGCAGGCCTAGAGAGCAAACCTTGGAGAGGCACCTCTCTTTAGGAATGTTCCCACCAAGGTCTGAAAGTGTGGAAATTATCCTCCAAGGCACAGAGCTGACGATCTTCTGTATTCTTCCCCGTAACACTCATGTGCTGCTCCTGCCTTTGCCTCTTTTTCTTGCCTCTGATTTGCACATACAAGGATGAGGAGTTCAGGAACGAGTCCAGCTGCAGCTGGAACCTTTCTCCTCCTYGGACTTGGTTGCAGAGCAAGTGCTCTACAAGCAGTTTAGGAAGAAGTCGCAGAGTGTTCTGGTTTCTAGGTCTCTGCTCCCCTTCTCCCCAAAACACCTGTGAGCCTGTGTGAGCAGGCTGGTCAGATCCCCTCTCATACATCCCTGCATGCAGAAAAATGTTCTCCAAATGTCCTCATCACCCTTGCCAAGCAAAAGAGAGTCAAGGCCCTCTTTGGGAGCGCCTCAAGCCCCTTCAGCTCCTCAAGAGTTGTGATTGCTGCACGGTATGAAGGAAGAAGATGCTTGACCTGAATTAGGGAAATGCTTCAGGGAAACAAAGCAAGTGAGGAGCAGGATCTGATCCCGATTTGTGATTGGAATTTTCTAGCAATAGAAGATGGATTTGGAAGCGCAGTCAAGCGGCTCAGCCCCAAACTTTCTCTTTCCATCCAAGATCTGACCTCAGAGATGCCTCTTGCTGTATGCAGTCCCTGTCTCTGTGCTCTGCTTTCCCATATTCTAAGTCCTCAGCCTCCTAAATGTGAATTTATTTCCTTGGATGTGCTTGGACTGGCACTCTAGAGGCTTTCTTGGGTTAGCAGGTCTCTCTAGGTCTCTCACTAGCACCACACAGAAGGCTGCAAATTGATTTTCCCCAAACTCAGATGACTCCATGGTAAAGATTAAGGCACCATTGAAAAGAGGAAGTTGATTTGGGGACAGCAAAAGGTAGATGAGATKAGATTAAATGTACCCTAAGATTTGAAGGTTATTGCATCCTCCTTGCATGCTGCATTTAATACATGTATAGTTGTGGGGAGAATGTGGCACAGTGGTTTGAAAGCCTGAGCCATAGATTTGCTAGTTTTAGTCATTCTTGTCATTTGTGTTCATAAATCTGTCAGGAATATTTGGTGATTGGTATCCTCAGGGAACGTAGCCTTTGTCTAGCTCAGCAAAGAGGAAAAATTGATGCCTGCTGGGAGCCAGTGGGATGTAAMTACTTCAGTGTTTAACGATGAAATTGTTTGGAGGGCGTGCTGGGGTATGTAGACACAGAGAAGGGGGTTATGAAGATGAAGGGGTGGGACATAGTGTTGAAAGAAGTGGCAGGAACCCCCTTTCTCTAATGGGAGCTGCTCTCAGCTGGGAACCTTATTGGCAAAAAATCATTTCTGTGCCTTTCCTCTGCTGCGTATGATGATACCCAAGGACTGGTTCCTTATGCTTGACATTCACTCAGCTTTGGAGGGTTGGCCTGTGAGCAGTGTGGTGGATTTGCTAGCAGTGCTGGTAGCCACATGCCCTTCCCTAGCAGGCAACGACCCTTAGCAGGGACGGAGAGGTCATTGGCATGCTCTGAAAGAAGCAAGCTGAGTATCCTTGCAAAATAAATCCTTTTTGGTCACTGAACATCTTCATGATATTTGATAGTTACCTGCTCCTWTAGCTCAGCTTTAATGCAGTGACTTGACCCCCTTTGGGCAAGGGGAACAGCGAAACTTCCTGAGGTCTCATTGCCATCCTCTTTATCAGTAAAGCTTTGGGGAAATGCAGGTGTTGCTGGTCAGCAGTGGGAACCTGCAGTGTCCTGGCAGAGCTGTCTGCAGATGTAGGACCCTACAGAGCAACCTGCTACCAAATCTGGGGGTAGCCTGTGTTTCCAGCCTCTCCATAACAAAAAATGATGCMGCATATGAACTATTTGGACCAAGTCTTTCTCCTGTTGGAGCTGGCAGCRTGCTCTCTCTTGCTGTAATAGGAACAGGTCACTCCTCTAATTGCAGAGCATCTCCTTAATGAGCAGAAATGCCAGCGGTTTCATCAGCTGTCACTACTAGTGTGAGCAAAGTTCAGCTTGTGCATTGCTTTAGTTGCTCTGCTGTCTTTGTGTTGGTGCTACATTCCCTAATCATGGCACAACTTGCCAGACCATGCTTTGTAGGGTGACAGTTGGACTGCCAGCAAACCACTGAAAACAAACAGCTTCTGCTTTCCAAAGGGGACTGTGCAAGAATCATCCAGCTAAGGTGCTGTTATCCAGTATAAAATTTAATTTGACTCGTCTAGAGACCTGTTCCTAGGCATAAAGTATAAACTCTTTATATCTCTCGGCCAAGAACTGATCACCTGGGGCCAAATTAGAATCATTCCTGATATCTCCAATATGGGCCAACACATTTTCAGGGTGACTTTCTACCACTGCGTGGGACTTATCTAGTGGACCAACCAAATGCACTTACCATTTGGGTTTGCTAYCTAGAGTCCCTCTTTCTAAATAAATTTAAAAAATCCTTTTTCTGCAAAACTCACAATGACGTGCTCCTGTTAGCAGTATTACCAGTATTAATTATTCTTTCTCATCTTCTAGAATGATTTATCTGRTTGGAACTATATTCCTCATTGGAACAAGGTTTCCCTTGACGTTTGTGTCTTCTGAGGTGAGGTTTATAGGCTGCAAGATCGGAAAGACTTTTGAGGGAACGTTGACTTTTGCAGACAAGTAGCTTCTGTRGTCTCTTTACTCTTCAAAACCAGTTTGACAACTGTGAAAACTTGTCACCAAAACTGAATGCATGGCAGTTCAGCTCTCCAGGCTCACTGCATGAGGAAAGAACTGGGTGTGGTACATGGGCCTGCTTTAAACCATCCTCTCCTCCAAGATGATCTTCTAAGATCTTCTAGATCTTCTAAGAAGTGAGAGACAATAGATCTACTTTTGATCCTCAATGCTTTTGTCTTTACTTAGCTACCTGTTTTGTTTGCTCCTTGCTTATATAGGTGAGCCAAGCGAGCTAATCTCAGATCATAAGAAGTTTGGGGCTATCTAGTGCTAGTCCTGATGTGTGTGTGTGCATGTGTGTGTCTGTTGCAGCCCTTTCTCTGTCACTCCCTCCGTTGGGACGCTGGGGATTGGTGACACCATGCAAGTAACAGTGGAGTTTCACCCGCTGGAGCCCGGAGATCATTCCAGAGCCCTCATAGTCCACTACGACACAGGTAAGTGTTGAGGGGTGCAGGGTGTAGACTCAAAACAGAACTTTTTTTTATCAACAGAAGAATGCTGAGCTTGTTTTGCATACAAATTCCCAAACTGTTCTAGAACCTCTGAATATTCCAGTGTTAAGAAGTGTCACCTAGGTGACAAAACACACAGAACAAGGATAGACCCAGCCTGTACCCTGATCTGTTCCTGGAGGTGCCCGATGTCTGCAATATTGTCCTGCATCCTCTCGGGTCTAACCTACCAGGCAGGATGCTCAGCTGCTGGTGTGCCTGTCCTATCTCAAACTTCCCTCGAGTACTTCTCTACTTGAGTACAAGTGAAGGCAAAGGTGATAAATGGGTCATAAAAGTGGATCCTTTTAATAATGAGGTCCTTGGAATGCTCTTTTGTTGCAAATTGTGGAGTAAAGGGAAGCACTGATTCTCATTTGAAACAGCATAGCAAATTCCCATCCCTTACCAGCCTCTCCTCAGTACCTGCAGCCTTCCATAGCTCTCTATACCTTGTGCTACTTCTCAGACCTGCTACAGATCCTTTTTATGTTGCCTTCTGCCCATGTGCATCCTGTGCTTCACATCAGATCTGAAGCAGCAGACTAGAGTGGGGCTCTTGGAGGATGACTTGAAGTGTTCAATTCTTCCTGAGATCAGGTGYAAAGTCTATAAAGGGGTGCGAGAAACCAGGGTTAGACCTAGGAATATTGTCATATTCTTAAATTATTTTTAAGAATGAGTGGAAAAACTCTGAAAAAAAAGGCAGTGGAAGTTTGAAAAAAAAAAATCTGTCAACCTTGGTTCAGCAGAGAGATCTTGTGATGCTGAACAAAAGAATTTCTCAGTTACATTAAAATAGTTGATGTGCTGTTTTGTTTGCCTGGAGAAGAGCTTTGCTTTTGTTCCACTTCCTATTTGTTGATTTTTGCAAAGCGACACCCCCCAACCTAGCTGATACTGTGAAACTTGAGCCTGGCGGTGAACTTGAGATGTATTTTCTTCTTTTGAATGTGTGGAGGCTTGTAAAATGCTTCTACATCTTTCAGGCTATCTGTCATCTTCCGGGGTGTCACAGCTTTGTTGGCTACTTGTCAGGTTCTCACTCAGAACAGCTCGTGCTCAGTCTGAGAAGCTCATGGATGTGGATCACAGTGTTTCCCCTGAACCACTGAGGTTCCAGGTAGAGAAACAAGCAAGGGGCTCATCTATGGATACTGTTTTTTTGATCTTATTAGTGAATATGAGGTAACACACTACACCTTTGTAGCACGGTACTGATAACATTAAAGGCTAGGGCAGTAGGGTCTRTCTTCTGTGAAAGAAAAGCCTGAGCTAAGACCTTTGTGTTCTAATTTGAAGACCTGTCTCTTGTTACTGGATGAAAGCACCTGCTTTCTTCATGGTCAGCCTTCATGGAAGGGCTCTGTGGAGGTAAGCCACAGTGATGAGATGAGCAGCTTGCCCAAGAGATGGGCAGCCTCCCTGGGACCTCCTAGGAGCAATGTGTGCAGCCACCTGAGATGTGAAGCCAGGACYGCCTCCCTGGCCGTCATTCCGGCATTGCCATGACTTTTAAATAAGCCCTGGATTGAGGAGGAGTGCAAGAGAATAATTAAGGGTTTATCTCCCTAGCTTCAAAGTATGCAAATAAATGAAAAGCTGCTGGGATGAGTTGAAATGGAAGCTTTAAATCGGTCTTAAAAGTTGCCTGTTGCAGGTGCAGTGCAGAGCAACAGATGATAATGAATGACCTCAGGTGGGGGTCCTGTTTAACTTGTCCTGCACTAAGTCACRCTCCCTGCAACCTGTGTCCACCAGCAGCTGATTATTCTGTCACTGCAAGCTGGTGCCTGCAGGACCTTGTTGTGGAGTGCTACGAGATGCTTTTGGTCCAGAGGAACCTTTGTGCAACACTGAGACGTCTCTGTGTGGCTCCTTCCCTTCCGTCCCCCTGTCCCTTGAGTTTCTTTGTGAGCCCAGGCAGTAATTAGCAGCCCCCTGTGGAGCGCTGCCTGGCTGACAGACACCATAGGCTGCAATGCTCTTATTGCTGTCAGTGAGAAGAGGAATGATGCAGATCTCTCCGTTGCCTCTGAGACTGCTGCAGCCTCGCGAGCCTTAAGGGCAGGATTCTCACCCTCTTGGAAGGGAGGAATCAGAGCTGGCACTTGCAGGTGGGTCTTAGGAGAAAGTCTATCTGAGAAAAGCCTCCAACACCTACTGTCTTCCTGATCTGTCTCCTGTTGGGTAGGAGCTCCAGAGAGCAGCTCCCACAGAAAGAGGTAGCACAGGGCTCAGGCAACAGTTCTCCGTGGTCTTGATCCCCCTGGAAGCCTCCAGCCTGCTGCTAAAAGCCTGCTGAGGAGCCAACTGGGGAGCTGACAGATTAATACCCTGTTTCCCCTTGGCTTCCTACACAGTTTTCTGGTGGGCTGACAATCCCTTAGCTGGGAGCTCTCCTGAAGCAAATCTCAGCATGTTCCCTATGGATGGGAGCCCCAGGGCACTGCTCCTCTGTGTGCTCAGAGCATGGAAGGGGCAGCTCGGCCTCAGCTCCGTGCTCAACTCCTTCAAGGGCAGGTGGACAACCTGGACAGCCTGGAGCCATCCGGCTGGGTTAGATCCTGCTGGAGGATCCCAAAGCTCCAGCTTCTCCGGGGAGCAGGTTGCAGATCACGGCGGCTTCGCAGCAGCTCCAGCCTGGTGCCCTGTTCTCCTGCCCATCATCTCACAGGTGACAAGGCAGGTGATTCTGCAGGTGATTCTGGTATCAAGGCCCACAGGGGTAGCGTGGGGTGAGATTTGGGCTGATTTCTGCCTACGTGGGACTGTCCCTAAAGCTGGTACCCGCATCAGCATGTGGTTGTGAGCTGGATTTATTTTTATCAGATTTTCATCCCCCTCCATTTYTCTGAGCCTTCACAAGTGCCCATAGGACAGATACTGATCTGCCTGGAGCAATGCAATATGTTTAAAAGGAAGAAAGAAAGACAAAAGATGGATATTCCTGACTATATCTGAGAGAACTACAGGCCCTTAGTCTCCTGCGAAACGACAGCAAGTTGGACGTGATGCATGAGAGCTGTTTGGATCTGGTGCAGATGCTGGGTGACCACAGACATTGGCAAAAGGAATCTGGCACTAGGGTTTAGAGTGATTATTGGGCTTCAGCGTCACTCAACCAAAGGGTCTCGTCACCTGTCTCGCGAGGCCGCTCTTGCTATCGATGGCTTCCAGGCACTTTTTTGAAAAGGAAATGAAAATCCTCTTGAGTTGCTAGCCCRAGCTGTAGCCTTGCCTGTTTGACATGGAGCTTTTTTTTCCATGGATCCGTTGATGGATGTGACTAGGCAGCAGCGTTGGGCAGCCTGAGCCCTGGCTGTGCTGCATCTTCTGCGCCTGAAATCCCTTGAGCCACTCAAGTTGGGAAGGGCTCTCAGTTTGCAGCGGGTTCAGTAGGAATGGAGGGGYGCTCAGTGCTTTCCCAAACAAATCACCGGGGATGTTTATCCCAGTGATCCCTGCGTGTGTTTATCCGAGTGATCCCACACAACGGGGCTGTCCCGTGTCCTTACAAGTAACAAAAGTTACCACCGAGCCAAACTCACAATGATGGAATCGACTTCAGACGGCTGCAGCCGTGTGGATTTTCATTGAGTTATTCCTGTTAATGCAATTCTGTCTTCCTGCAATCCCGGGCWGACTTGCAGGAGCATCTTCCACGTGTCAAAGGGTCAGGAAATCTGCTCCTAAGCAGCAACTTCTTCTAACTCCAATATGTGCCTGGAGTGCAGCGACTGCTGCCAATGTATTTATTTGGTRTTCAGGTCTGGCATGTGTTGTATTCCAGGAGTTTCCAAAGGGGATCTTGTTTCCCGCGTTAGCCTAAATTGTGCTGTTAGGATGTTTCAGCTCTTCCATTAAGAGGGTTCTCCAGCTTTCCCTTGAACTATGTTTAAAAGAGACTTAAACTTTACTGAGGGATTTTTCTTYGTTCTCGTTGTAGTGCGTATTTCCTTTCTTGGATGTCTGCTTGGAAGTAATTGGGATTTAGGGGAGTGCAGGGAGGCATATATTGCAGATAAGCCTGGTGTTAATAGGAGCTGCTGCAATTATATGTTGACTTTGCCGCGTCTTAATAGCAGCAGCRCTGCAGCAGCCCAAGGATCGGTGACTAATACTTTATCCAACTGCCTGGTTATGGGCTTTTATAGGCCTAATCAATAAGATATTGCAGTGCATCTGGTCTCCAACACGATAGTTTACATCCATCAGCTGTCAGTTAACAAATATTTCTTGTGTTTTTTTGCCCTTTCTCTCGAATTGCCAGCAGGGAAGCACGTGTGCTGTGCTGGATGGGGCTGTTCTGCCTCTTGCAGACGGATTCCAACCTCTGCCCCTCTGCAGCGCCTCGTGTTGGGAGACAGATGATGTGTCACTCGGAGGGCAGGTGAAGGGGAGCAGAGCTCCTGCTCATTTGGGAGAGTTTTTGGCTTGATTTTCTAGCTCTGTGGCTGCAGAAGCACCCTGCACACCCAAACTTGCCAATGCAACCCGCAGCCTCAAGCGCGTGAGCACAGGCCGCGTTGCGTTGGCTTCGAGAGCCCTCTGGAAACTCACATCTCCTTTTGAGCATTTCATTCACCCCCCAGCTATCCACCGAAACGGGGGCTTCAATGGCCCTCTCCAACCCCGTCCTTGTCACATGAAAGTTTTGAAGAATGTGGGTTTCATCTCATAGGATACCCTTGACCGTAGCTTGTTTAACCTGTCATCAGCAGAAATAACCAATATTATCTTCAGCTTTATTAACTCGGGTTGCTTTCAGGGCAGACCTGGCCATTCATTAACCTCTTTTCCTTTTGGTGCCAGCTGAGATGCATAAAAGCAGCTTGAGAGGCGATTGATCTATTAAGTGGTATATTGTGCATCTGTTGGCAAAAATTGCTTGGAGATTTTTTCCCTGGGGGCCAAAACCAATGTTTGGGCCAGTTCAGGTACCCCAGTTTCTTTCTTTAGTAGCAAGAGTGAATAAGAGTAGCCAGCTGCCTCTTGGATAGGCTGCAGCACCGTCTTTGATCATCCTTCGGTGTCACTGTGCTTTGCTTCAATGTGTTGGGTGGGATGAAGCCCCTTTGGCTCCAGCAATCCCTGTGTCCCAGCGTTTCACCCAGCCAAACTGGGTGACCACAGAGGTGAGAACGGGGCCTGCGTTGGGTGCTCTGTTATGAACGATGCACAGAGGAACCTCTTTTTTTACTCTATTGAGGTGATGATTCATGTGTAAAAGAGCTGTTGCCTGCAGTTTGTCACATAGACCTGCTGCTGCTTTTGCTCCCTTCCTCTCCTCTATCTCGTCTTGCAGATTGTGGTAATGTCTTTGGGATGGAGCCTTTTGGTGAGGGGCTCCCTGAGAGCTCGGCCAGGGCTTGGCCCACGCCTGGGGCATGGGGCTGTTGAAGCAATAACTGATGCAAGAGTAGTCCTGATTATAGGGTGTCCTCAGCTTCCTCTTGGCCCAGGACTGATGCTTTGGCACTGCCCTCCTTATCAGCAGCCGTTGTTTTGTGAGGAGGTTGTACCCGAGCTGATCTGGAGGGTTGGAGTCAATAAATAATGCAGTGATTTAGTGAGGTCTGAAGGTAGCTCGTGGACATGGGCAGAGGAGGAGCTCTGCTTTCATTTCTCTTTTATGTTTTCCAGTGTGTATGGGGGGGAAGTATCAGACTTCCAACTTACAGTGTCTCTTCAGTTGCATTTGTTGAACTGTGCTTAGGATTAAACCATATTTGCTTTTTCTCTTCAAGGATATCTTGTGTTCCTCCGGAAACTATTTCTTCTTGTCTTAAAAAATTGTCTCCTGTACTATTAGAGAAATTCAGAAAGATATTTTGGTGCTTTTGTTGTTTCCCTTCTGGTCTCTTTTCCCCCCAGAACAGGCCCCAGAAAGGATGATCCGATACTGGACTTGCTTGCAATAGCATCCCCTGCCTTTTTGCCAAGACATCTGCATCCGCAGTCATGCAGAAGGAGGCTGGGATAAAAAAAAAATAGGGATTTTTCTGCTGTGTCAGAGAGCATCACTGCATGAACCCTTTTAGCACCGTGCGGAAAGTCTCCTTGGATTCCAGGTTGGGGCTGCAGAGCCAGAGCTGCCCCCTGCTCTCCCTAGCTAGCACAGCAGGAGCATTTAAGGAGGAGAGGATTGACAGCCTGGAATGAGGCTGCAGGGTGTAAATAACGTCCAGGCCCACGTGGCCCGGTCGATAAATGTGTTTTCCTGGTAGCACCGCRGCCCGCGGCGAGTCCTGTGCACAGCACCCTGTCGAGTGAAATCCCAAGCACTGCATCCCTGTTATGGTATTTTCTTTTGTTTTCCTCACTGATTATACTAACCAAGAGTCTTAAATGAAACATCCCATTGGATTTGGTGCCTGAGGTTGGGAGGCTGCCYGCGGCCACCCCGAACAGTCCCGGGGTGTCCGGATGGACGGATCCGCGGTGCCCGTGCGTGGACGCCGGCACTCGGGGGGATTATGCCCCTGGCACCGTGCCAAGCGCGTCCCCTCCATCGTGCTCAGCACGTAGGTGCCCCTACAAGCCCTGCAGCCTTCGGAAGCCCCTCAGCGCTCGCCGCCAGCTCCGAGCTCCACAGGGCCCGGCCTTGGTGCTGGAAGAGTGGCCGCGTGCCTGGCTCGTGCCTGCCAGAGCAGTAAGGGATGCTTAGAATTGCACGGGAAAGGAGGCCGTGCACCCATTTTGTCAACCGGGCACTCCAGACTTAACATTTTTTTGTGCCAGCGGCTTTATTCTCATCTTTATTTAATATCTCTTAATGGCTTTATCTTCCAAGAACTTGTCCGGTTGCTCTTTGGATTTATAACCGTTAGCTTTGACAACATCCTACGGCAGTGTTTTCCCAGGGAGTGAGTGTTGCCTGAAAATACTTCCTTTTATTTTTTTTAATGTAATTTGACTGATAACATTATTTCAAGCCCTCGGGTTGCTGTCTTATGGGTGAGATAGTGAAAGATTGTTCCTTCTGCACCTCTTCCGGGCTATTCATGCTTTTCCAGGCTTCTCTCATCTACCTCCCCTTTGTGTTTTCTACRCTGAGGAATTCTAGTCGGTCTCTCTTCAAAGTACAGCTGCTCTGTACTTTTAATCATTCTCTTTGCCCTACTCTTTCACATCAYCCACCTTTTTGCTCTGCAGGGAGCAGAACTATCCTCCCTATTTCACCATGCGGGCAGCTGCAGATTGTCAGTAGGTTAAGCATCATTTTAATGTTGYTTTATAGTAGTTGAACATTGTTTGCCTTTCTGACCACTGAGCTCCTCTTTCTATGACCCTCCAAGCTTAATACCCTTTTTCTCCCACCCCTGTTGTGGCTCCTGATCCCTATACCCTCAGTGGGTAGGGTGCAGTACTTCTAAAGCACAACCACAGCTAAGGCTCTTCTGGGCTGCACTTATAGTTTTATGTGCTGAGCTGTTTATTACAGAAAAGTGATTCTCTCCCCATTGGAAACATTGCTGTGTTTTATGGCAATGTCAACTCATCTCTGAGCCCAAATTCTCCCCGTTGCAGACTCTCTGGAGAGCAGGGAAGTACAGGCTGTGCAGGCATGAAGGCCGAATCCTCTGCTCGCTGAGGCCTGGGGGCTAAAGAGCTGTAGGGCCCAACACGGGAGGTATCCCAGGAGGTCCTCACAACACACGTAAGCTTTTTACCCCGCTCTGTTTGCTCTCCAGTCATTTTGCCACCTCTTGACAAGCTGTACAAGCCCAGACTTTGAGCCTGCTGCTTGAAGTGGCTCAGAGTGCAAAGGGTTTGGGCAAGGGCMCTCCGGAAGGGCAAACTGCTCCATACAGCACCCGGGCAAGGATGGAGGGCTCCAGAGATGCTTTCGCGCAGTGCGGAGTCTGGCTTCGTTCCCCGAGTCTCCTGGAGGGAATCTCTTCTCCAGAATCAATGCTGTCCTGCTGTGTTGTGGCTGTCGGGATTTAAGGTGTCCATCTAGCACAGGTGCTCTCTCCTTGCCTTGCTCTGCAGTAGCCAATTCAAGTCCCTCTTGAGGCAGGATTGATGCAGAGTTCCTTGCAGGTGCYGTGGAGCTGCAAACTGAAGATCACCTGAACACATCTGAGACATCTCACTGTAAACSTGAACCTTGGGGAATAAACCTTTCCAGGGACCTCTGGAATTGTCTAGAGCATCTTCCTGGTGTATGCAGGGTGCAGTCAGGATTTGATCAACACACCGATTTGTGGAATTGCTAATCCAGTTGAAAGCTGTAAATGTTTCTTCTGTTGTTTATGCTTTGTGTTTCTTGTGCTTTTTAGCATCCCACGTGCTGAGCAAAGGTTGCCCTTCACTTTCTTCCAGGTGAGGACATCCATACAAGCCTTTACGGAGCAGCTGTAGATGTCAACATCAGTCTGGACAAGAACTCCTTGCTAATGGAGAGAACTTACCTCACGTTGGCCAGCCACAGAGCTGTGCTCATTCACAACAGGAGCGAAATCATAGCCCACTTCCAGTGGAAGGCTTTTGCTACGCGGGAAGAGGAGGATCGGCAGAAAACGAGGTTCATTTAAAGATTCATTTCCTTCGATTAAAAATTCATTTCCGTTTGCTACTCTGCCGTGGGTAGACTAGTGTATGGCCCCAAAGGGAGGCTTGTGCTTTTGGGTGGTTTGGGATGAATAACTTATGAGCCTGCCCCATCCAAGCGTCAGGGGGTAAGATGCTGAACTTCAGGGGAATGTAGGATGTCCTGCGCTCTCCAGGTTTCCAGCTTTTGGGGCATTTCTGCCTTTCCTTAGAGTCAGGAGGGAACTCAGAGGTGGGGGAGCTTGGGGGAGATAGCAGAGCACAAGACTTGGAGAATATTTGGGCTTCAGCTCCCTGGGTCCTCACGGCAGTGAGAGGTGCTCATGTAGCCATGGGACAGCTGGAAGTGGCAATAGTGTGAGGACCAAGGGAAGATGGATTTTAGAAGTGATTTTGAAACTTCCATTTTGAGCACCAGGGGAACACTTGTAGCTTGGAGGTGAATTGGGAATTGCCTTTCTAGAGGCTTGGGTGGTTTAGGGAATTCTCATGTGACTTTTCAAACTTGGAGTTTGTGGAAGTTAGTGGCTTCTGATGCACCGTGGGTTCAGTGCATCAGGAAACTGCCTTAAACTGGAGCACTTTTTAAGGGTTTCTGAGCAAATAAAGTTCAACATAATTAGGTCAGCGATGCCTTGAAGGCCAAAGCTAGTTTTCCACTGTTCTCTATTTTTAATTACACAGTGTGACTTCTGTGAGGGTGCAGAGTGTTAGAGGAAAATCTCATGACCTTTTCTTGGTAATCCCCTGAACGCAATTCCTTCACCATCTCTTCCTACCTGCCTAGTGATCCCTTTTCCCCACTCTAGAAATGGTCAAGTTTCTCGACAGTGAACTTGCACTGTATTTTTTCGTTAATACATTGGATCTCATAGCAATTTCCATGCCACATTCTGCTGCTTTGTTTTGCCAGTTGCTGGCCTGTCTCCGAGTGGGATTCCACAGCAAAGTTCTTGTGAAGGATCCATGGATGAATGGATGGGATAGAAGCATCCATAACCACACATGCAGGTGGATCAGGCATGCAGTTATATGCGCCCAGATGTCCAACCCTTTGTCTCTGCTAACAGCCTTGAGCTCAGTCTACAGCTCAACCTTGGCACCCCACATTGAGCTGTAAGCCTTGGCCAATCTATCAGCCTCAGGGTTTTCATGGGGTCTTCTGGGCATCCTACAGGATGTTCTGGGATGCCACAGTGGAATTAGTGCCTCAGGATGGAGAGGATGGATGGATAATCTCTGGATGGAGAGTCAGTTCAGGGCTGTTGCTTTGGGTTCCCCTCCTCATCCCCAGCGTTTTAGGTCAGCCACRGAGAGACCTTTCCTAGTGAAGTCGATGGGGAGCTGGCCAAAGCAAGTATTTTTGGCACTGGGGGCAGCGCTTGCCTGGGGCTGTCTGTGTGCCACTAGCACGCAGACAGTTACAGAGGCTGTGCTTCCCCTCTAATTGCATTTGAATTTAGCTGGGGGACGATCGCTGCCTTTCTCTTCATACTGCATTGCCTCGATCTGCTGCATACRGAGCCTTCCCTGGGTTCCCCCAGAATGGTCACCTGCTGGTTTTTCATAGCCCGAGGAGGGGTGTGTGATGGGGGACAGAAATACTCCATCTAGGTAGCATCTGCTTGGTGGATGCCCTCCCTGTCTTTCAGTTAGAATCACAGAATGGTTAAGGTTGGAAGGGACCTCCAGAGGTCACCTAGTCCAACCCCCCTGCACACACAGGGTCACCCAGAGCACGTGGCACAGGGCTGCATCCAAGCGGGTTTGGGAGATCTCCGGAGAAGGAGACTCCACAGCCTCTCCCGGCAGCCTGTTCCAGGACTGTCACTGTTAAGAAATGTTTCCTCAAGTTCCTGTGGAACTYTCGGTGCCTCAGCTTGTGGCCATTTCCTCTAGTCCTATTGTCCACCACTGAAAAGAGGCTGCCCCATCCTCCTCACTGCCTCCCTTGAGGTATCTATAGACACTGMTCAGGTCCCCCCTCAGCCTTCTCTTCTCCAGGCTGAACAGGCCCAGCTCCCTCAGCCTCTCCTCACAGGGCARATGTTCCAGGTCCCCAATCATCCTTGTAGCCCTGCGCTGGACTCTCTCCAGCAGCTCCATAGATCCAGTGTCCAGACATCATAAAATGCTTTCTGCTCTGGCTGCCAACTAAAGGAGACATCAACTGAGTTGAGGTCTCCTGAGAAGGTGAAAGAACAAGGTCAGGTTGCTCAGGGCTGGACCTAACAGATGGGACTCAGATGTGCTTGTCCTGACTTCCATTTTCTTGGGTAATGCAGGGCAATGTCTTTCTCAGGGCCTCTGTTTTTATTCTTCTGAAACTATCAACTTCCCCAAGGTGAAGTGATGGTGACATTTATCTCTGAAGTGCTCTGGGATGCTCTGGGGACAAGGCACTTAGCAAAGCCAGAAAGCAGATGTTGTGTCCCTGGTCCCTGCAGGTTCAAAAGGCAGAAGGGGAGACCTGTACAGCAAATGGCAGGTGAAATCCTGCCTCTTCTCCTCCCCAATGAGCGCTGTAGTAGCTGCTCATCACCAAAACTTGATCTTCCTCTTACCTGGCTCCCAGTGTGACCCTGTGGGTGGGACGTTAGGGGACAGCAGATGAGGTGGTCACTGGCCTCAGCGAGCTGCAGCGGTGGCTTCAGAGGAGGAACTTTGGTGCTCTTTAGAGGGTCATTCGCTTTCCAAAAGCCTATTCTCAGCGTGGGAGCGTGCACTAAAATTCCTTGTCATGCTGGTGAACAACAGCCGAGAACCGGGTTTGTTTGGGACCCCCTTGGCTTGTGATGGATGCGGCGCTCAGCCCGTGTGCTGCGGCCCCTGCACTTGCATGCCAGCCTCTGGGAACGTGGTGCTTATTCAAGGATCTGCTTGGTTTSTCTCTCCTTGTGGCTTCAGGCTGTGTGGCAGGCTGCAGAGGCAGGAGGAGGGCGAGACGGATCGCTTTCTTGAGGAGTGCAGCGTGGACCCCGCTCTCCGGGAACGCCTCGCGCTTCTCTCCCGCACCTTCCAGAACCAGCGGGCGAAGGTGAAGGGCGATGCCATGCTCTTCTCCCATGACATCTTCAGCATCGAGCCCAGGGTAAGCGGTAGCCAAGAGCCTCCTTTCCTCCTCCTCCTCCTCTTTTCTGAATGAGGTCACTTGGGATCCCTGCATCAGCYGGTTCGATGTGCTGAGAGTCAACTCCAGGTTCCTAGCGAGGCCGGGAGAGCTTGTTGCAAAAAGCATTTCTGAACTATGAACTCCTCACAGGCAGCGAGTATCTGCCTAAAGCTGAGCTGCTGCAAGAGCTCTACGTGGGTTGCTGGTGGGCAACACGTGCTCGAGACTGGAGCCCATCACTGGCAGCCGGTTGAATTGAACTCTCTTTTGCCCAGCACGTTCTCAGGTAAATCACTCTGGCTCATTGCATTTTACTTTCCCTACCTTAAAACGAAGTAATGACTCTTTTCACCCTTGTGACTTGGAAGATATCTGTAAAAGCAAGATAGCAGCATGAGGCCACTTGTGGCTAGTTTTTTTCTGAGTATGAGCTCCTTTCATTCATGCACTTGCATTAACTTTGCTTGGAGTTTGCCTTGTCCAGTGATACATTGGTTTGGGCACAGCWTACGCAGGAACATTGACAAGAGATTAGAGCTCTGTCACTCCATGTAGTGACTGCAAAGTGAAGTGATCCTTTGAAGTGGTGGCCAAATTCAGTCTGGGTTCCATCGTGGCAATACAAATTTTTTCATATAACCTGGCCTTGTGTGTCATYTGAATCTTCAGGGTCATCTGTAAGCCTGGGCACAGTCCTGGCAGATCTAAATAGGYTTTTTTGACTTGTGTTGTGTTTGTTTATGGGGGAAAAAAAAACCCCATGCTTTTCTGTTTGTTTACCCAAAGCTCCCATCCTCCAGTTACGCAGAGCTCTGATTCTGCATATTTACATGTTCTGAGACAAACAGCTCCGGCCGCCTGAGCCATACAAAATCTCTGCTTTGCAGTAAACTTTAGAGTAAAATCCAACCTATTTCTTTTAAAATAGGTGGAACTAAATCTTTCTGAGGCTGTGAGAGCAGTCAGTCATGTTTCTGTCCTGTCTGGCCTTACCAAGTTTCCAGCTTTTCAGCTCTCGCAGCTGAAGGCGGTGGATACTCTCTGCCTTCTACCCATCACCTGTGACTTCTGAGAGCACCATACAGAAATAAACCCTTCTAACAAGAACCTGGAGGCAGGATGTGTTCATGTTAACTAATAAATTCCAAGCAAATTGCTTCCCAGAGGTTAGGAGCTGATGGAGCATGGAAGCTTCCTCTGGTTGTGGTGGCTTGGCAGGGTTTGGACAAAAGCTCTGCTGTGGACATGGCCCACTAGATGAGACCAGCAGATCTGTTGGCATTTTCAGGTGTTRCTGTCTGCAGAAGGTGTAGCAGAGCACGTCAGCCTGTAAAGAGTTAACTTGCTGATGAAAATAATAAAAAATAAAAAAAAAGGGGGAAAAAAAAGGCAGTGATTTCAGAATTACCAYGTGACCATAAACACTGAGCAGCCTTCCAAGCCTGTGGGAAACAGGCTGTTATGCAACTGTGACTTTCTGAGTGCATCTTAGATTTGGTTTAATTTCTTTTTGCAAATAAACATGCTCTGTCAGCAGCAGCAGCTGTGATGGAAGCCCAGGTGGCGACCACAGGACGGAGTCCTTGCTTCGCTGTTCCGTCCCTCTCACTGCGGCTCGGTTGTGAATCACCTTGTGAACGCGTGGACGCTGACTGCTTGGAAATGGACACCCGAGAGAAGAAAGGGAGGACAAGAATTTGCTACCATTGCACTGTCCTTGACAAGTCCCCCCTGTCCTGTCRTTGCCCTGCGGTGATTCCCAGGTGTTGTGTGTTAACGTGGAGCTGAGGGAGGTGGCCCTTGGGGTTTTGAGATTGCGAAAGGGCCCCGCTTCCAAGGGGCTCCTAGAAATAGTAACGTGCTGTGGTCGATCTCCTCCTCAGCTGGAGAACCGAGTGAGGTGCTTATGGATGGTCATCCAAACAAGAAGCTACGAGAGAGCACTTCAGCTTTTGGCAGAAGATGTCCTCTCTGTGGGGAGCGGCGGAGCATCCCGCAGCTCAGCGTGGCTTCGGTTATTTGTGGAAGAAGAGGCAGCTGTTGGCTTTGGCACTGCCTTTCCTGTGCCGAGTGTCCTGAGCTAGCAGGATCTGCTTTGGGCATCACTTCTGGGCTTCCAGCGTCAGCTTTGTCTTTGTTTTATGCCTGCTTGGATTAGGGATTTCCTTTCTCTGGAGCCYCTTCTGCAAAAGAGGAAGCAGAGGACCTGGCTGATGGCTGGTGGTACTTGGTTCTTCCCGAGCAGCTTTTTCTTATTCASGTTGGTGAGAGCTGGCAGGTTCTGGGGATTTAGAGTCAGAGAGAGGTGAAGACGGGTCTGCAGCTATCAAAGCCTAGTCTCCTGCATCCCACTTGGATGCCAGCGTTGTGCCATGTGCCATCCCCTCCTCTTGGCCCCGTGGCCAAGGCAGCGCCCAGCAGCTGCACAGCGGTCGTGCTACTTCCCCATGCAGCCTCCCTCCCTACTTTACGCCCCCAGCCTGTCGGAGGCTGGCGTGAAGCCCACGGTGTCACGCTTCCCACGCTGCACATTTTTTGTCCCTCTTGATGAGCATTCCCGGTAGTTTTCTGTGCTCCGGCTCAGCCTGTGTCCTGGAAGGAGTGCGCCAGGCCAGGCAGGGCGCTCGGGGCTCAGACACGTGCAGCAGCCAGCCTGAAAGGGTGGGTAATGAAGCATCTCTTTTTAACCAGCGCTTCGCCCCATCCTGAGGGGTAGCAGGGATGCAAGGAACCTCTCCAACAGCCAATTTTAATTTCCCAGGAGAAATAACTATCTTCTAGTTTTATAGGCTGGCGCAGAGCAATAATGATAGGGAAAAAAATCACAGAGATGACCCAGAATACATAACTTAAAAGAATTCGTTTTGGTCATTAAATTGCAGAGTAAAACATTGCTGCTTGTTTCTTCTTGCCCTCTACCTTTGCAGTTCAACTGCTTGGCTTACGAGTTCACTGACAGTCCAGCTGTCCTGCAGATCAGTGATTTCACAGCAGAAGCTCAAGAGGCCGAGTCTGCTGTTACCGGTGTGGATTTGCTTGTGAGAGGATGTGAGTGAGAGACTCTGGCRATAATACCGAGATTAATCCCGAGAGCTGTGTGGATGCATAAAGAAGCATGAGTTAGTGCTGGTCCTTAAGCTCGTTTCCTCTGGTGTCTGAGGAAAATCTCATCCACTTGCACTGTGGGATCCAGTAGCACCCTGGGCTTATGGAGATAGACACCTTATCAGGATCGTGGTCTGTCACTCACCGGCTCCCTGGCATTTGGCAGGAAATCRCCCCCCAGCAAAAGGCGGCATGTGCTGCCTCCCATGGGTTTTAGAACCAAAGAAGTGACGTGTGTCCAGAGTTCTCAGCTCCTTCATGTTGGTTTATGAATTACGCAGCACGCAGGCATCACAGCAACGCTGCAGGCGCCGCTGCGGTCTCGCCGAGGAGATCAGCCCCTCGGCAGCTCAGCCTGCAGAGCCTCCTTTCCTCTCCTTCGCTCCTTGGAGCTGCGCATCCACGGTGTTCTCCCCTGAAGGTGGATTTTGGGGGGCAGGGGGAAGTTGCTATTTTGATGTTGAGCTTGGGCCGAGAGGCCAGATGCAGTGCTGGAGTGTGAGCCCACCTGGATAAATGCCCTGCCGGAGCTGACCAAGCTCGTCAGCATCCAGTGCTGAGGAGATGAGTGGAGGCCACAATAGCTTGAGCCTCCTGTGTCACAAGTAACATCTCATCTCCCAGTGGAGACCAGAGGCAGCCAGAGCAGGTTGTAGAGCCTTGATACCTCTCTCCTGCCTTCTGTGCCTGCTTCAAGTAGGGAGGAGAAGTGGCTTTGGACAATGAGGCAGTTAAGACTGGAAAAACAGTAGTGAGGGGCTGATCTTTCTTGAGGAGCTGCTTTCCAGAAAGCTTCCAGYAAAAATGCGGCTGCACAAGGTCTTCTTGCCAGGACCTGAGCGGAGTTGTCCCGTTGTATGCAAGGTCTTGGGACATGGGACTTCCCTGTTGACTCTGTTGTGGTCTAGCTACGTAGTGTCCATTACAGATGTGTAAAGACTGAGGGCAGAGGTTGGACAAGGATTGATTAGCGACATAGGTCCCAAAATGGTGGCATAACGAAAATTAAAGCAGACCTGCTTGTGCAAGATATGTTGCTCTTTTCAGTATGGCTCCTGTTTGCCCCACTTCAATGCTTTGCATGTCTGTGGTGGTAGAAAGTGACCTCAGGGACCAGCATACGTGGGCACGGATGTCCCAAAGCCCAAACCAAAGTGGCTGTGATTCCTCCAAGGGGGAGCTCTTGGGRTCGAGCTCAGTGTCTCCACGGAGAGCAGCTCTGCAAGCACAGCCCAGGGCACTTGCAGATTCTGCTTTCCAGGCCGTGGGGGACATCGGGTATCCCTGCACCCTAGGGCTTTTCCMGCACACGGGTGGGGAGGCAGCTCCCATCAAGGTGAGCATGTCTGGGCACCGGCTGTCCCGGCAGATGTTCCAGGATTGCCCCTTTGGAGCAGGATAGGAGCATCTGTGGCTTTGTAAGTCAGCTCAGAACCAGGGTAAGAGTTTGAGGGAGGAGGATTTGCACTCTGTTTTTAAAAAGAAGCAGTCAAGGCAGCAATGTTGTAGCTAGAGCTGGTTTGACTAAGATATACCTCTAGATAGACTGCACGGAAGAGACCTTCAGTTTGTAGGTAGCAGCTTTTTAGCTTTGTTTAGAGAGAAATGAGTCACAAGGCCGGCCCTGGGTACGTGCTGAAGGATGATGAATGCAAACTGGCTAYTAGGAGGGCTCTCAGAAATGCTCCTCTTGGAGCTGCTGTGGTACAGGGAGCTTTGCCATCACCTTGGATAGCTTGGGAAAGGCTTATAGAAAGTGCAGTGAAGTGTCCCCATCCTTCAGAACTCACCTCTGCCTGCTATACCAGGGCTGGAAATGTTTTTGCCTTGCCCTACCTTGAATGCAAAACTCAGATGTCTTGGTGAGGAGCCTTCCCCAGGTCTCTAGTTCTGCTCAAGTTGTTTGGACCCCTGTGCTGTTCAGCAGCTCCTGCATTCAAGGAATCCTAACCCAGGGCTCCCTGGAGGTGATTGAAGCTAAATATTTAAGGTTAGCAGCGTAAATATCCCACATCTTTCTTAAATGCTCTTTTCAGCTGCTTCCCACTGCTTCTTGGGCTCTGTTGCCCATCACTGGCTCCCTGGGACGTCAAGTCCGTCCCYGTTGCTGCCTCTGAGATGTGTGGCTGTTATCTGCTCTGAAGCAGCAGGCTAAGCTCACCGCGTCAGTCATATTTCGATCTCCGATGTGCCAGCCTTGGAGTTCATCAAATCCCAGAGTCAGCTCAACTCCCTCGGCTGTGAAACGGCCCTGTTGTTAGCAGATACATATTCATCAGGCCAGTGCTCCTTTTTAATTTTCTCCCTTTCCTGCTTAGGTTTGGTTTTGCTCCTGAGTTGTGTTACACTCGCTTCCCTTCACGGGAGATGTATCACCACTGTCAACCTTCAAGTAATAAGCAACCCGCCCCGAGCGTCCACCGGGCCCATATGTCTGCAGTGCATAAATAGACCAATGAGTACCAGCAGTCCATAAGCCAGAAGTGAGCAACAAAAAGAGCATTTGCTAAATAGTTGATCTGAAAAGTGGGTTCTGGCCTTAACAGAGAGGGGAATGTGCTCTAAATATCCCAGGTGTGACTTGGCTTGATGAAGCTGCCCCTTTTCCAGCTAGAAACCCTACTTTAAGGCAACTAGAACTGTCCTAAATGACAGTTAGGAAATATTCCTCTACTTTTTTAGATATATTTCAAAGATTTGCGAGGAATAATACAGTTCYAGGCCAGTCTAGGGCCAGGATTCTGGTGGGCCTTGTGTGACAGTAAGTGCCTCCAAGTCATCCGGCTGTGCCTGGCCCTCGTGGTTCTGGCTGCAGAACCACAGGTGCATCCAGGAGCAGTTGGATTCAGTTGGATGAGGTAGATCTTACTGGTGTAAGATCTAACTTTCCTACCTTATTAGTACTGCTGTACTAGCTTTATTTTGTAGTGGAAATCTCTTYTCTTGTGGAGGAGAGCATGGGTGGACCCTCACGCAGGATGTCGTTGAGCGTTTCCCCATAAGGCATTCGGTGGTGTTGAGCAGCCCACACTGTGAATTGAACTTTTTTTTGTGAGGTTTTGAAGGCCTAAACCTAAGAAATAGGAGATGGCCACAAAAAAAAAAAATCACATTGTTCATGTTTTTATCCCACAGGTAAGTATAAGTGTACTGTGGCTCAGAGCAGCGCGTGGCGCTGCTAGGCCGGCTGCTAGGCCGGCTGCTAGGCCGGGCCCGGTGCCCTGTGCCCCTTGGGAGCAGCCCTGCGGCGCTCCAGGTGGAGCCTAACAGGGCCTAACGTTACCAGTGGTAACTCTACAGAGGAGCGACTGAGCTGAGCCTGCAGCTGGAGGGGGACAACTCGAAGCACAACCACGTCAGCCGCACGGCGCCCCGGGGACCCGTCGCCTGAGGTGCCGYCATTCTGTTCAATTCATTCTGTTAAACACCCAGGGAGCAGCTGGGTGATGAGCGCTGGTGAGTTATTAGGCTCTGATTAGCGAAGCCCAGGAAATCCATCACGCGGCTGCCTCTTCGCCGCGGCTCATCTCGGATGAGCTGCAGGCACCGCGGCCGAGCTGACGTTGGGTATTTGTATGGCCGTAAATCGAAGGTAACTGCACGGATGCTTTTGTGCCCGTGCTGCAGCCCCAGGGGAGCTGCAGGCTCTCTAATAAGCAAGCGGGTTGATTGGGGCTTGCAGGCTGCTGCCCCCAAATTGTGCTGGATGCCTCCTCAGGCAAGCGCGTCGGAATATAATAACGCTTCATCTTCATCCCCGCGCTTGCCGGATAGAAACCTCCGGCRCGAAGCACATTTGATGTGGCAGATATATTTGCTCTGGGTTATGAGAGGAATCCGAGTGACTTATGATTTCGGACTCGCCTTATTATTGCAATGGTGATGCTTTGTCAATGTTTGGAAGAGAGTTTTCCCTTTTTTTTTTCTCCAGCCTGCTTTTCCCTCTCTACTCATGCCAAGCAGCCAGCACATTAGAGAATTATTTGGAGCTGCAGCCCTATAACTCACCACGTCACAGTTTAATTTTTGTTGGGCCTACCCTCTGAGCAGCGAGCACTAAGTCAATGGGAGGTTATTTAATATTTATATCCCCAGGAGGGCCAGAGGCTCAAGTCACTTCTGGGCAATGTGCTAAGGACACCCTGCAGCGAGCGGAATTGGGCCTTGCTTCGTCAGTAGAAAAATACCTCAGTTTGTTCTTTGTCCCTTTCTAGAAGATAAATTTTTCATTCCTGCTGGAGTAGCATTACAGTTGTCAGAGGTGCATATATTCATGTCGATAAATGCACAAACAGCCATTTGTAATGTTAGGGCTCGAGTCGGGCGCCTGTGCAAGGGGATGTAAGCAGAGCCTTGACTTAAGAGCATAACATAGTTGGAAGAAGCAGGTGGGTGTCTTTACCAACCAGGGATGTCTCTTCAAATGCTCAGTGAGATGTAGGCACAGCGGAGCTGCGGGTTTGCTGGGCCGGAGGGTACCAGGGCCCTGGCTGGGAAGGGAGGAGGCTCCAAGGAAGCAGCCGGCGCTGCAGGAGCACCGCTGGCCTGGCCTGCATCTCTGATGGCATCGCTGCTGGAGGAACCTGCTCGTGGTGAGGGCAGAAGCGTCTGTGAGCAGAAAGGAGTAGGTTCTTCATCGATTGCCAGGCCAGAGCCAAACAAGGCTCTAAGAGAAGGTTTGCAGGAGACAGGGAGTGCTTTTGTCTTTAGACTGGCTGGTTCCACAGGTGCCAGTTGGCCTCGTTGATGTTCTGGAGCATAAACCACTTACAACCCTGGTTTCACAGAATGGACTTGTTGGGTATTAGTAAAGGTAAGGGAATGAGAGAATTTTTTGCAGCTGTTCTCAGACTTTCCTGTAAATTTTACTGACAAATGTTCACTTGCTCCTTGCTCGTTATGGACGCTGTAAATAGAGGCTGCGAGGCTTTGGCTGAAAATGTGAAATGTAACATTTGAAGATGAACTGTTCCTCATCCTCTTTTGTTTTAGGAGGGAGATGTCTGGCCCAACTCTACAGCTGAAATTAATGTGATCTTTCAACCTCGGGAAGCCAGATTCTATCAGCAAACTGTCTACTGCGACATCTCAGGTACRGTCACACCTTCTCTTACCCATGGGGATGATGAGACCCCAAAAGAGCCTTCCAGCCCTTTTGGCTCTTATGAGAACAACTTTAGGAGAATAGCACTAAACCCTTGTAGACATCTCTTGTCACTGCATCTCTCCCTGCATGGGAATTGTCACCTTGGGGCTCAAAGTTTCGGGTTCATCCAGGTTGCCATGCACGGAGCTTGCTGTACTCAGCAGAGCCAAAACYGTCCCCAGAAAGTGTAGTCCAAGCAGCCTGTGCCAGGTGAGCTCTGTGCCCRTCCTGTCCGACGGAAGGGCTGTCGTGGCTTCTGCTGGGAGCAATTATTCACCTGCCCAAATGTCCCTCCCTCTGCCCTGAGAGGTGACGCTTTTGCTGTGCTGGCACGGGCAGGGAGTGCTTGCACCAGGCTGTGCTGTTTGTGTTACTGTGCCCTTCCTCTTGGGCTCTGTGCCTTTCTTACGTGCTGCTTTTTAAAGTATCTTAAGGTGTTTTTCTGCGAGTGAGAGATTGCCAGCAAAGGGGTCCGTGCAGGGACCCTGTGGGCTTCCCCATCTTTCCACCCCATCTCCTGGGTACGTGAAGCCCCTGATYCTTGCAGCATCCAGATTCCTGTTTTGGAGGGCGGTGGAGTCACTCGCACGGCTGCTTTGCTGCCTGCCATAGCACTCCAAGCTGGCGGATACAAATGTCAGGAAACAGCTTTTTATTTATACAGTAATTGCATAGGGTTTACTTGGCAAATGCCACCTACGGTAATTACACAGGGCTKGTGCTAACAAACTGTCTTCCTGCCCACCAGCTGCAGTTGTTGGAGCTGGGGAACGCAAGGCTGCTTTTGAGAAGTCRTTCCCGAGGGATTCCTCCCGGATCCAAAGTGCTCCTGGGCCTGAGACTCTTGCTTTGGTGATAGGGGGAATCCATGAGGTTGCTCCAGCCTCCCCAGGGGTTACTTGAGGAGGACGAGGTGTTGTAGGGGAACTAGAAGGTGACTTGCATGCGAATCTTGAGCTGGTTTGCAAATTGTGAAGCTGACATGGGCCAAAGCCCCTGCGTTGGGTCAGGGACGCTGCTCTTTCAATCCCCACGCTGGCCCCCAGGAGAACTTAGCTCTGCTCCACACTCATCCACTGAATCCCCGGGGGACATCAAGGATGTTGTTGGAACCATGAGGCTACCCTCTCCTGTCCCTTGTAAAATAGAGTTGCTCCTCTGTATCGTCAGGAATGGAGAGTCACAGTCAAGCTCCCTTGGTGCAAAAAAAGTAAATAAAAATAACCAGCTTTAACTAGTTCATTAATTTTGTGACTGCATTCCGCACACATCTTGCGTGCCAGTCACAAGGCCCTTTGGAGCATGGCTTGCAGGTGGCCTGTGTGCCCTTTGTYGGGGATATTTCAGTTTTGCTGCAGCCTGGTGAGTTGTACAGGCTGGAGCTGCCCTTGTCTCCCCTTGGGAAAGGGGCTTTGGCCTCTGCCCTTTTTGCAGATGCCCTCCCCAAATTGCTCGGCAGATGCCTCTGYATGAGGTGATGTCCTGAGCTCATCAGCACTGTACAGCTTGCAGATCTGGCCCTTAGGAGGARCAGGGGTGTGGAATTGGCTCTTGGCAAATATTTAAGCAGCGAATGAACTTTCCTAATTAATCCTGCAGATGAAACTGGCTCTTGAGGTTCAGCTGGAAGGAGGAAGAGYGAAAATTCTGGGGTTTCCAGGATGAGTGTAGGGGAAGAAAAAAAGGTTTCTTTAGGCTCCCAAGAGAGCCTGGGCAGGTGCTCCRCGAGGAAACTTGCCACTCAATTGCAGCAACCACGGGCTGAGTCTCTCCTATCAGTCTGTGCMCTGTATGAGGTGACCATGGGCAAACTCCTGTCCCTCAGTGTTGCAATTCCCAAGAGCAGTGATGATATACACCTGGCAAGTCTTTCTGATGAGAATTAAACCACACGTGATGCGAGATGAACAAGCCTTTTGCCAGCAAGCAGCAAATACAGCCTCTTCTGCAGTATCCGTGAACTAGAAATCCCCAGCCCTCCCTCTGACTAATAGCCAAGCTCTACAGCACAGCTCYGCGCCCTGCTATCAGCCAGGCTTTGGCTGTATCCACTTGCATGTTGAATATAACAAAAGCTCCATACCAATTATTTTCTGGCTTTGGATGCTCTCAGGCATGGCTGTGAGATCAGAAGGTCAATGATCATCGAAACAGGTCCAGGCTGTTTTTCAGGAGAGTTTTTCGAGCTGYGGTCAAGTCACCGTGTTACCATAGCTGGTTCCTTCCTTCTGGCAGGAAGCTATGTAGGATATTCTGAACAACTGTGCAGAAGAATTTTGTGAAGGCAACCATTTAATCCCTAATTTTTCRATAAATACTGAGTATCTCGCCAAAGAAGCCTGTAGGAGAGAGGAATGTTTTTGCAACAAAAGCTRCAGTGACGGTTGTGTGCAACTTGGGGGCTTTTCAGTGTTTTCTAGTGGAGCATCTTGAGCYGGTCCCATCAGCAGGGGCCCTGTGGGCTTTTGCACCGAGGTAATGGGCAAGATCCAGGGCAGCAGGAGGGCAAGGGCTGTCCCGAAAGGACGATCTCTCCGCAGGTCGCGCCACCAGGCTCCCGCTGCGCCTCCGGGGGGAAGGCATCGGGCCCCGACTCCGCTTCAGCTTCGACCAGCTCGACATCGGGAAGGTTTTCGTCAGCTCAACGCACAGCTAYGAGGTGAGCGGGGACGTGCCTGCTTGTGCTGTTGGGGACAGGGGAGCTAGCACACCCATAATAATCATATTCAGGGGGGTTGGCCCATTCTGGGCATTCTTACAGGGTCTGGAAGGTGTCTCTGTTCACAAGAGTTGCTCCAAATAGTCTTCCTGCTCAAAATTGTCCCTGGCCATTGAGCTTGGAGTGCTTTCCCTGCCTACATCTCGCCATGCGTTGCTCTTGGTACAGCTCCAACTCTAGAAAGAGTAGAGAATTTCTGCAGTGGAAGCAAAGGCAACTTCACTTTCTCTACCCCCCACAGCGACCTCAAATCTCTGCACAAATGAAGAACAAAGGAACCTAAAGAGGTAGTAAATGAGGCCATGCATCATGCCAGATACTTTGAAAAGCCTGGTTGTGACAGGGAAGGGCACGCTAAGGTGTTTCYGTACAAAAATATTTTCCTCTGTATGCATTTTTAATGCTGATACTTTATTGCCTCTCTCTGTTTCAATTTATTCTTTTCATTACTTGGGAAAGTATGAGTAAGTAGATGATGCTGTTAGTGCTGTCCTAAGCAGCTCGGCTGTGGGTAGATCTCAGCTCAGTGTGGCCTCCCTAAGTGCCATTTGTAACCAGGATGTCAAATATAAGAGAGGAGTGTTCAGGTTTACCATCGAGGAGCTCCAATGTGTGAAAATATTTGCAGCAGCAGCTGCAAAAATTAGGAAAAAAAAAAAAAAGAAAAATGCACCATTTTTCTGCTGCTTCCTCAGCTTTGCCGCTTCATCTTGCAAGGGAAAAGAAATCCCATCCAGGTGAAAAGAATCTGTGCAAACAGCAGGATTTTGCCCTGCAGCAATTGGAAAAATTACAYGTTTGGTGACCTCCAGGCAGTACTTGCTGACAGAACTTGACCTCTAGGAAAGAACTGAAGCTGAAGAAGCAGGGAGCAACTGGGGCATGTTTGAGGCAGCAGTTCTCTTGAATGTGCAGCAAAATGTGGCGTTGGTTCTCAATTTGCAGTGTCTTGCAAATCAGCTGCAATCTTTATTGATGCCTGTGCACATTTAGGGAGGAGGCTCCTTAGAGCATGTAGAGCTCGTATCCTCCTCACCACTTTTCTTTCCTGAGTGTTCTYGTTGAGCAGAGACAAAAGAATTAGCAGATTAAAGAAAAATGGTAAGAAGATGAAAATGTGTGTGGTGGCAGAGCCTAGGAAGAATTCCAAATGTGGCTATTGTGCTGTCTAGGTGGTTCTTTGGCTTTATGCAATCAATAGGGGGCTTATGTGTAGAAGACTGGTAGAATAAGTAGATTAAGAGCCTAGTATTTTTGCCTTGCTCCACTGTGATCTCTCTCACCTGAAACACTTGGTGAAGATGGGAATATCAGACAGAAGGATCCAGACCCCAGCAAAGGCCATCCTTGATGCTGGTGTGAAGAAAGCTTCTAGAGTGCCATTCACCCAAATAAAATCATTCTTTTGGTCTTTCATTGCTGTATTTGTTTCTGTCTGATCTCCCCCTTTAGCTGTAGAACACAAGRTCTGTTGCATTTCCCTTTGCTGGGAGGCTTCTGTTCCCAATTTCCAGTAAGGAGCGAGTATGTTTTGAGGTGATACAGCAGCAAATGCAGTGCTGATGGGAGTCACGTAGGCTGCAATGGAAGCTGGCAGCGCCTGGCTCTTAACAAGCTTCGGTTACTGAGGCCACAAACGGTGAGGTGATGATTTGCCAGCACCGCTGGCCCTGCTCTGCTCCCAGGACCTGTTCCGAATCGACCCGGTTGTGCCTGGAGCTGCTTTGCACCACAGGTCCACTGGCTGTGACCGGAGTGAACCCAGGGTGACTCTCCCTGGCCTTCCTGCTGCCTTGCATGAGCAAACCCAAAGGCAGAGTTTGTCCCGTTGCCTTTGTCTTGGCCTCTGCCAGGAAGCAGCGTACATCATCTTCTGCCTTTGTTTTTCTAATTAAGCTACTAACACCTGTAAAGCAGCCTTTTGTGTGAGAGGAAGGTTCCTTACAGATCTGGCTTTGCTTTTCTTGCCACTCCAGGCTATCCTGTTCAACAAAGGAGCCATCGATGCCCTCTTCAGCGTGGACCCTCCGTCTACGGCTCTGGGCTCCTGCTTTACTTTCCACCCTTGCGAGGGCCTCATTTTACCGGAGGAGCTCCAGGTCATCCAGATCTCCTTTAGGTCCACCATCCTGGGGGAGTTCACAGAAGAATTCCGGTTCAGCGTTAATGGATCCCCTGATCCTGTGACCTTGACTATCAGGTAAGGAGAATTGTAGGAGTTGGGTGTTTGCATCAGGGACTCGCTGTCTTCGGGTACCTCTCCTGGTGCTACTGGGACACTTGTACCAATATCCTTGTTTTACAGTAGAGCAAAGAGAAAGAGGCACCATCTAAGACCTTACATTTGGGATGCCAGGATCAGAGCCAAGCATTTTTCCACCTTGACTCCATTTTGAGCCCTGCAATTGCTCGCTGGCAGCAGCTGAGGTGACTGTGCTCCTGTACTTCCAGGACACAGTTTAACTGGGGAAGTTTTCAGTCGCTTTGGGAATCATGGAGTCACAACGATTGAGGTTAGATGGGACCTCTAGAGATGGTCTAGTCCAGTCTCCAAAGGAAGGAGATTTTTGCAGTCGAGCAAAGCACTTTAAGCTCCCACATTGGTCACCTCTCCAAAACGGGTAGCAGCGTCCTYGGTGACATTGCCTGTGTTAATGTGATGGGACCCGCTCTCCTGATAGGACCTGCTGTCCTGTCTGCTCTTGGGGAGCATCGCTGCAGCAGCTTCTTACTGCAACTGGGAAGGTGTTGGTGCAGGAGACCAGCAGCTCTGCAGCTCCACCAGGACTCAGGAATCATCCCAAGGGCTGGTGCTGATAGAAAAGACAATCCTCACAGAGAAAAATAAAATAAAAAAAAATCCCAAAGTAAATGAGTAAGCAAGCAGGCTTGGAGTGCAGTGTGGCATTCAGGGGATCCTCTCTTGACTCCAGTGCATCTCGTCAGAGCAGAGGCTAGCAAAAATGAGCAGCATGAAGCTCACTCGGGAGCAATGCGAGGCGGTCCCAGTTGCTGCTCTGTGTGGGTCGTGAGGTGGGATATCTTGGGGATATCCCAAGTGTGATAGGGGAGATGCCCCATGCGTGAATGTTCAGCAACTTTGGGGCTGGCCATACTTGGGGAGATACTGAGATCAAGCACTGGGCCAGGTAGTGACGAAGCAAAGAGGAATCTGGGGTCCATTCACCAGCGAGGCAAGGGATGTAGGTTTGAATGGATGAGAAGGAAGAGCCAAGGTTATTACTTTGCAGGCAGAGTGGTGAGTAGGTCTGTTGACCTCCGGTTGGGAAACAATTACCTTGGCTTTCTSTTTGGAGTGAGAGTGCTGCTTTTTTTGGAAATCAAGAGGGAACATTTCCCAATCAAATAATTTCTTCTCATCTGTCCCTCCCCCAAATCGGTCATGGGATGTTTTTACATAAGCAGCTTTCTCCTTGAGGAAGGGCAGATTTTGCTTGTAGAGATGCGCTTATCCCCGGTCGAACACAGTTGCTTTTCCTCGGATGCTGCCCACTCTCTACGCTTGTAATGACCAAGGAAGGAAAGGGCTGTGCRAAGCACAGGGCTTTTTTTTGGTTTCCCCACATCTGAGTGAAATGTTCTGGGCTTCCCTGCCGATGGTTGGTTCCCAGTGCACCCTGCTGTCATGAAGCCAGGACTTCTGGTGCTCTTGGGGACCAAGGTCTATGCCATTGTGCCAGCATAGCCCTAGGCTCAGTGGAGACTTTTTGCCTCAGGGAAAGAGCATTGCTGTTGCTTTTTTGCACCTGTATCCTGATGGTTGTCTTTCCTGGTGACAGCTCCTTTGCAGCCCCTCTGGTGGAGCTGCAGCGTCTCCAGATGCTCCCAACCAGCCATCCCTCAGTGTTTCCATTGCAACTGATTTCTCTCTGAGATGGTCTCTGCCTCCTTGACTTCATTGGTCTTTATTTCAGGGATCCCTAATCCCACATTGCTACCTCTTGTTCTCTRTCCCCGTGACTGAAGCTGTTTGTCTTCAAACTCTCTTGAGATATCTACCCACCAGTTCAAGATTAGCCATCTTCTCCTGGAGGCTTTGTGAGCTGGATTGAGTCCTCCATGGAAGATCTCCATTGTTTTGACTGGATAGGGGACCCTACACCAGAATTGGGTGCCAAGGAGGGACTGGGGATGAGACTCCAAGTGATGCCTGTTCCACCTTGTGTTTTCCTTCAGGTTCTCCAAGGGCACTGCAGAAGGGAACCCTTCTCCTGTGCATTAACTGATCCTGCAGTGAGGCCCCATTGCTGCCCAAACCACTGCTTTTCCACCTTCTTTCTTGCAAGCTGGACTGTTAACAGCGGTGAGCCCTGAGTTCTGGTTTGGCTTCTTGCCTGAGGCTTTTGGGCTCTCATTCATTCCAACTTCTTGGAGCTCRGATAGGATGCGCTCAGCAGAAATGGCCGGCGCTTCCCCGCTTGTCTGGCAGGGCAAATCTTCGGCATTTTCCAAATGGTCTGGTTATGTGAGGTCCTTGGAGAGGAAACTTGATCAGCAGCAGGGATKTGCTGAGGGCTCTGTCTCAGGAACTGATTCAGCTCCAAGAATTGAGAATTAGCGTTGGGTTGAAACTCCAAAAAGATGTTTTTTTTTTCCTGAGTGCTTTCTGACCATCTGTATTCAAGCTGCCATCAAAAAATGCCCAARCTGCAGATTATTCTTTTTACTCAGTCACCAACTTACAGGGCCACGAGTGCTTATTTCTGTGGTGTTGTTAGGGATGCTGGAAATTGGACACCACGTATAAAGTGAGTGGAGGTTCTTCTTGCAGGTTGCTGGGAATGATTCCTTTTATAGACCAGACAGAGAAACGGTGGCAATCCCATGAACAAATTCCCTGTGTAACGAAGAGTTGGAGTTGTCACTGATTGCCATCAACTGTGGAAAGCAATTAATGGATGTTGTGCAGCTCCAAGTACTGACTGAAGTGGATTTTGGTGAATTTTCTGAGTTTGAAGCCTTCATGCCAAATTTGAGTAAGAGGGAGGTAGTGTACTGGGTTTGGGACATGTGTCCAGGGTGATTTGACTGAGAAGTTTCTCTCAGATGGGTCAGTTTGTGCACTTTGAGAAGCTCATACTTTTTTTCTTTTGTTTTTCTCTGCATGAGCATCTACTGGGTAGAGCTGTTTCTCTTCTAGTGATGGTGGATGGGACTTATGTCTCAATCCCGTGTGGATGTTGGTTGCATGGACCAAGATGTGCTAAGGGAAAATGTTCACATGCTCCGTGGAAACGTGGTGTCCAGTTAAGAAATGCCACAGTGCCGCTGGGTTAGGGAAGCTCTCTGGATTGAGGTTGTCTCCTGTCCATAGGAGACGTGTGGAGTGTGGGGGGTCGTGTTTATTTGAAGCCCCTGGTGCTTCTGAGAGCAGCTTTTATCCTCCTGTAGAATGATGAAAATGAAACACAGAATCACAGAATGGCTGAGGTTGGAAGGGACCTCTAGAGATCATCTAGTCCAACCTTCCTGCTCAAGCAGGGACACCCAGAGCATGGGGCACAGGGTGGCATCCAGGCGGGTTTGAAGACCTCCGGAGAAGGAGACTCCACAACCTCCCTGGGCAGCCTGTGYCAGGGCTCTGGCACCCTCACAGGAAAGAAGTTCCTCCTCACATGCAGATGGAACTGCCTGTGTTGYRACTTACACCCATTGCCCCTTGTCCTGTCACTGGCCACCACTGAGGCGCTTCTCTTGAACCAAACTAACGCCTCGTGTTTTGCTCCTAGGGGCTGCGTCATCGGACCGACTTTCCACTTCAATGTGCCTGCCCTCCATTTCGGGGATGTCTCCTTTGGTGAGTACGCCCTGGGCTTGATCCACAGGCTGTGGATTATCAAAGCARGGTATTTCAGCATAAGAGCATCTCTTGTTTGTGTTCCTCTATAGCAGGTTCTGGGGGGTTATAATGAGGGCAGCTGGTTGCTTGGAGAATCTTCTGCCATGAGCACTGCACACAGTGGACAAAGTTCCTGAGCTGGATCCCAGACACACTAGAACGTGTCAGCATAGGCCTCCAGCATGGCAGTATCCAGAAGGAATAAGAGGGACCTTTAAAGGCTTTGAGTGATGAGACAAAAGGATTTATCCGTAACATGGCCAGTGATTCCCACTGGTTTGCACTGTGCTGCCTATAAGTTCTGGGGGAAAAAAAAAAAAAAAAATCACAGTGGAACTTGTGCTGAAGGCACTTTGTCCTTCAGAGAAAGTGGGAATAGGGCAGCAGGAGAAAGGAGCTTAAACCATGTACTGACCTACAGCACTTCTGGGTAAATGTCTGTGTTGCAAGGTATGGACACCATACCTTTACTGAACTGTCCTTTAATATCAGAAGCTCCTCTGTGCTGTGAGGGCACCTCACGATGACTACCAGGTAACATACCCAAGCAACAGCTCTGCGGCAGGCACCGATATCCTTGGAGGCTCCTTCTCCTTCCCCACGGAAAGCTGAGCTCTGCTGGGAGAGCCTGTGTCTGCTCATTCACGGTGTCCCCATTGAAATGCAGATTCTGATTCTCCATCTCAGCCTCACAAAAGGCTTTTTACTGAGATGATCTGAAGTTTAAATGTGAAATCAATTGTGGATTGATTGAAGGGCCATTATCATCCTGCACCCAGGATGCTTCTGTGTTTTCATACTGTTCTTAGACTTTTTAAGAAAACTAATTGCTTTTCCTGGGAGATTTCCTTTTCTCCCAATATCACCACTCTGACTTTCGCTTCTTTGTTTCCTTTTGAATAAATGAAACAACAAGAAACACCAGGCAGCCCCCACTGAAAGCAAGAAATATGGTTGTGTAATACAAGTTTTTATCCTATTTAATCTGATTTCTTTAATAAGGCTCATTCAGCAAGAAAAAGCAGGCCTTTGTAGGGTTTTCTTCCCCTTTTAACTGTGGTGCTATTGCCTGTGCCTGGCGACCTGTGAAGTCTGTCCCTGTCCTTGGCACCTCCTGCCTTCCCAAGACTTTGCTGGAGGGGACATTCATTGCTGTTGCTAGTCCAGGTAAATTGCATGCTGCATCTCTGGATGATGTTTTTATTTTTGTTTTTTCCCCCTCACCATCTGGATTCAGCTAACATTTGGCAACCAGGCTGGCTTCTAAGCTAGCATCAGACTTGCTGCTTCAAGTGGGCTACAAGTCATCATGCTTTCAATTTGATGGCCCCAAACCAGGAGATGCCTTATGGATTCAGTGTAGCATCCAGACCTTCTCCCAGAAGGGCCCAGGTGTCCTAGGAGGTCTGTATTTTATTTCTTAGCCCCATTTTATTTCTTAGCCCCTGACATCTCAGACATGCCAATGTGGGAACAGCTGAGCCAACCCTGTTGAGTACAGTTGGTTCTTGGTGCTGTGTTCCAGAGGAATAACAACAGTTTCCTGAACAACTCAAGGCAGGAAATGTTTTAAGTCACTGTTGACATCTGAAAACTTACGAATGGGGTGGTATTTGGCTGTAAGGACACCAGGCAGGCAGAGCGTTGTGTCTGAGGGAAGCGGCCATCTCCAGGAGCTGCAAGTTGACCTTGGAAAGGGAGAGAGGAACAAGGCTGATGAGAGTGAGGRGAAGACTAGAAAACATCTGCTGTCAGTCACCTTTGGAGTTAGGGGCTGCTGGTYTGACCTGCTAGGGCTCTTCTCATGATCTGAGTTGTTCTTTGCCCGGCGCTGAGATCTTCACCTCCAGCAGCAGCTCCTGGTCCTGTTTTATAGGCCGATGTTGGTGCCTATAGCTAGTCCAGCTGTGGTGGTGGCATTAGTGTRTGTAGCGGGGGGAGTTTGTTGAGGCTTTCTAATTCTAATTTCTAATTACTATGCTTGAATATTATATATTGTATATAATATATAATAATATTAATATTATATATGCAAGATGGCTCATAGGCAGCAGCATGACCACTCAGCAGAAGCAGCCTTCAGGTTCAGATGGTCTTGGTGGCCATTTTCAGTAGGCAGCAGAAAGATGGTTGCACATCATTGATTATACTGAGCCCACATGATCTTATGCTTGCAATTAATTTGATGGGGATTTGATCAAAATTTTGTGACAGGGTCAGAAGAAACTGGCTTAAAGGCTGTTTTACTCATTGCTATGTAATCAGCAGTAGTWCCCAGTTTTATCTTTAATGCAGATTCTACCCAATTTCTATATGCTGCTTTTCTGTATTCAAAACTGTGTGCCCGATTGTTAAGATTGTATTCAGCTTAAGCAAGAGTGGCAGAACTTGGGTTTTATTGGCTGAGATTTTAGAATAAACCTACTATCGTCGTCTTGGATGTACATTAGTACTCAWACAGGAGTAATAATTGGTGCTGGTTTTTGGGAGGGAAGGGAGAGCACTCCTCACAGAGAGCACGAGAGACTCTTTTTTTATTTCTTTAAGACATCCCCAAGATGAATTGAGTGTCTCTGAGGAAGCAGTCTCCGTGATCAGAGGAAAAGGAAACCAAGCAAAGATTAATTACTTGCCTAGCTTCTCAATTAGTTATAATTCAAATCGAAAAGAGCTAAATTCCAAGCACAAGCTTCATTGTAATAGAATATTCTTACCCGGAATCAAGGTTAGGTCGTGCATAAACTCCCATGTGTGTCGTTTTTCTTAGGCTTTCCGTGCACCTTGTCCTGTTGCCTCAATAACACATCCTTGGTGCCCATGACTTTCACCCTTCGCATCCCTGGAGATGGCCCTGGAGAGCCTAGTGTAACCAGTTGTGTTCAGATCTTGGATGATACTAGGCCATCCTGGAGAAGGGGAGTTCGAGGCCATGTCAAGCCAACAGAATTTATCATCACACCCTGCAGAGGAACCATCCGCTCCCAGGGCCTCGTGGACATCCAGGTATGGGCCAAGGCCACCTAGGCATCATTCAGCAGGTGGAGCTGGAGCTTCACTGATTTATGAGGGGACTGAACTTTAGTTTAAGCCCAATGCAAGGAAGATGTGCACAGCAGTGTGAGACTTGGGTTACCCGGGTCTTTGGGACATTTCTGGACGTGTATGGGTTTGTTTTCAAAATCATAAGCCAAAGATCATGTGCAGTATGGCCAAATACAGAAGCCATGAATGTGTTTTGAGAGCTTCTCGCAGCAGTTTCTTTGGTTTAAAGTGAGCAGAGGGAGGAGGAGGACAGAAGGAGGCTGCTGAAAACAGAATGTCCATTGTTCAAAGTAGAAGTCATCTTTTCTTCCTAGCCTTGTTTTCACTCTCCTGTTGAACAGAGGAAATCGGGCTCACTGCAGTGATATTTAATGGTGACAATAAAAGTTGTGGCACCCATGAACTGCCTAACCTCTGCTGGGCCACGTTCCCTTCTCGGCTTCCCAATGTAAAGCTCAATACCTTTGGTTAAAGTCAGCGGATTTCCTTTGGATCTGTGCTCTTGTCCTGTGCAGTSACTCTTATTTTCCTCCATGCTGTAGTGTCTTGGGCAGTAGAACTTACCAGGGAGGCCCTAGGGCTGGTGGCCCTGGGCCAGCAGAGAGTGACAYTGGGCACATACAGACCCAGGGCTGCAGGTTTTAGTTGTTGCAGCTGCTGGACCACAAGAGTGACCCTGTGAGTGATCCTGTGTTTTTTTTAGCTACTTGTCACACGTGTGGGTTGGTAGGAGCTGGATTCCATTAAAGAGGGGTCCCTAGGGTCACCTCCGTTATTTCCTGGTTCCCATGGGACCAAAGTGCTTCACTAATGGTCTGCAGGGACGTGCTTTATAGACCAGTCTTACAGACCAGGCGACTTGGACACCGACAAAGCATCTGACGCTCTTCTCTTCTGCCAGGTCACCCTGTGCTCCAACACGGTGAAAAAATACGAGCTGGCCCTGGTGGTGGACGTGGACGGTGTCGGCCAGGAGGTGTCGGCGCTGCTCCTCACAGCGAGGTATCGGCGCTGCCCTCGCAGCCCCTGCTGCTTCATCACGTCTCCGCGTGAGGAGAGCAACGTGATGAGCTGCTTCTACCAAATGGGTTGCCCCATTGGCAATAAATCAGGCACAGAAATGACAGCGTTTGAGAAGCAGCACGTGTCGAAAAGCCCCTGTGCTGCGTGGGCAGGAGCAGCCCTGGGTTGGTGTGGAGGGAGCAGTGATTGCATCCCTTGTCAACCTGTTTTTTTCCCCTGTGCTTGAGGTAGAGCAGATTTCCTGGGTGTTTAGCCAGAGAGCCACCTCCCCTCCCACCCGTCAGAATGGGGCTTGGGACCAAAATGTGGCATTTGCCCTTGGTTGGGTGGCAGCTCGAGCCTAAATTTGTCCTTGCTGTAACCAGGTAACAGAGAATCGGTCCCATTGTGCTGTTAGTTGTCAGTTTAATTACAGCGAGGATGCAGTTAGCCCTATTTATTTATTTATTTATTTATTTATTTATGAGGGTTTAATAGCCCGAGGGATGTTATTTTCATAAGATTTCAGTGCCTTGCCGTGTGCTGTCTGCTTGTGGTGCCTGAGCCGGGCCGATCCAGGGGTTACTGTGAGGCTGTAGGGCAGGACAAGTCACCTCTGTACCTTGGCAGACCCTCGTTGGCAGAGGGCTCCAGGGGGCTGCTGCCTCTCCCTGGTAGGATCATGTGTTTGGTGCTTGGATGCAGCTTCAACAAATGAAACGGAGAGGGCAGAGGGGAGCAGAGAGCCCAGGAAGCCCTGGGGCTTCAAGAGCAGGTAGCTGTAGGAATGAGGGACGGAGCATCACTCGCTGTATAAAGCAGGTGCTGGGCTGTGCCCTCCGTTGCTGTGACAAACGACTGGATCTTTGGGCAAGGGCACCTGCTCTGTGGAAAATGAGTCGCTTGTAGTGAGATACTGGAGTCTTGTGTCCCTTGGATCTTGTCTGGTGGTACGAGGGCCATTGCCCCAGGAGGAGGCTCCTGCCTGGCTGGGACAGACAAGATGTGCCACAGGGGCATAGCAGGTTGTGTGATGCTCAGGGGCATCATCCTGTGGATAAGGGGTCTGCAAGGTGGCTCCAAGCACCAGCAGGCTCAGGGATGGGGCGCAGCGCCTTGTTGAGGACTCGGCTGCTCTGGCAAATGCTGAGCCCTTTGACAGGCTGAGACTTGGAGCTGGGCACGCTTTAAAGAGAGGCTGCCAATTTAGAAAGTGAATAAAAAAGAAATTACAGTTAATTTATTGCCATGGGGTTTTTAAAGTATCTGACAGTGATAAATGCGTCCTGTTCCATTTCACCTTCTTTGAAGAATAATCAAACACTGCCTTTGCTTGATACCTCTAACGCTCACTTGCTCATCTCTGTGTCTAGATGTGTAGTTCCYCCACTGCGAGTGCTCGACCCTGTTCTGAGGTTCGGAAGGTGCTTCCTAAAATTTCCCTCTGGACAAACACTGACGCTCGTGAACGACAGCGAGCTGCCGGGCTGCTACGGGGTCCTGCCACAGGTTTGCCTCTGCATCCGCCTCCCCTGCTCACCTTTTCCCGGGGCAATGTGACATTCCCGGGGGAACATGAATTCCCTACTGGAACGTGACAAACACTGGGGGGTTGCCCAGATCCCTGCTGCTGGAAAAACGTCTACGTTAGGCTGGAGGAATAAGTCTCTAATCTGATTGTTGAGGTCGCAAGAAGCTGCTGCCAAAGGAGGGGGCCCAAACTGTTTTCAGCAAATTTTGATTCACTTGACGGGAGAATTCCCAGGGGAAAAGTCCCTAGGGTTTCTGTGGCCAGAGGCCGTCCCTCTTCAGAGGGGACAGCGTGCAACCTTCTGAGAGCTGCTCTGCGTCCTTCATGGGTGACAAGGGGCTCAGTTTCAGTAGCTGCATGAGTTACTCAAGGGGCATTCACTTTTGTCAAGCACTACAGAGAGAAATGAGTCTRCTCTTATCTCAAAGGACACCAGCTYCTGGTGTTCCCCCYGGGGTGTTCAAGGCATGCAGGCTGCAGCTCCTGAGAGCCAGAGCACCCCAGGGTGCTGAAGGTGATCGTTGCTASTCCCATGGCAGCCACCAAGAGCCTGAGGTGGAGCAGTCTGTGCACCTGCAGCTGTGGGATAGGAGCTGTTTCCCCACAACTGGTTTTGGAGCTCCTGAGGATGTCAAACTTGAAGTTTTGCATGAAGTTTTGCTGCTTTCTGCTTTCTCCTAGGACTGCTTTAAAAATATTGCGCCAAATTGTCCCTGGTGTAAATATCAAGTTGTTTACAACTTCCCCAAAGGTCGTGCTGCAACTGCCTTTGGTTCTGTCCCTTCCAGGAGCACAAGGATGCTGCTGCTGTGTGGTACTTCAGCCCCCTGCCTTGTGGGATTATTGCACCTCACAGCTCTGTGGAGATCCCCTTTACACTGGAAGCCCAAGTCATAGGAGAGCAAGACACAGTTGCTCACGTCGCGGTGTTTGGGAGCGAAGGATCCCCTTTGGTGAGTCCAGGAGATGTGTCTGTTGTCCCTGTGACTTGTTTTGGCAAGGCACAGAGTGTGCTGAGTGGGCTGCTAATGGCCTCCTGTACTGCTGAATCAGGAATCAGCCTGGAAAGAGTCAGGTAAGGAGGAGAGAACATGGATAGAGGCCAGCTCCTGCTGTCTGCTGAGGACTTTCTTTTTATGTGAAGAAAAAGGATGGGACAGGAACTTGGCATCTCACCAGCCTGGGTCTTGTGAGATGAATGTTAAGTGACACGATTAACACAGCCCAAAGCGTGTGACACTGCATGTTCTCCCGGATCTGTGACACAGGATAATAATGAACCCAAACTGAAACCCAGAACAGTTCCTGCATTTCTCTCTCCTGTGATATTAGATAAGTAACTGCTCCTGCTTTCAATTCAGATTCAAAGCCATCAAATTTGGATTTAAATGATGCAGGGACGTGCCTGAATCCTGCTACCAGYATTTAAGAAACACTTGCCCACGTGATGTTCTGAGATAGACTAGATTTAGACTCTTCCAGAAATCAGGCCCATCATATCTGAGAAGTTTCCATCATTTCTGTACTGAAAACCACAACCAAAGACACGGGGGTCTCCACACAGTCTATATGCAGAGCACAGAGACTTACCTGCCAAACTGGAGATGGACCAGGCRAAGTGTTGTTGGGCTCATTCCCCCTAAAAGACGTGGCTTGTGTTCAAGCAGCAGCACAATATAGGCAGAAAAATGCTTTGCTATGTCTTAGCTTCATCTGTATGAATTCTAGAACCAGTTGAGTTAATTAAAGTTTAATTTAAAATGATATGAACTTTGGAAGTAACTGTGTTAAAACGGCCTGTCCTGTCTCTGAGCATGAAAGCAGATGTCAGAGGATTGTTGGGATCCTTAAGCTTTTCGTTAGAGAGGAAGGGCTGGCATTTTGAAGGCAGCCCAAGGGATTTAAACACGCATTAAAATGAATGGAGAAGATGCTGCGGGATCCCTCGGATGGCACTGAGCATCTCAACGTAGGCCTTTGTGGAGCTAAATGAAAACTAGGCAACAGGATGACAAGGCACGCTTCTCTCTAAAGGAAGGTTGCTCTCCTCTAACATAACCCAGTTGTTTAATTGTTGGTTTTTTTTGTGTTTGTTTTTGGATTTTTTTTTAACTACAGTGTTCTTGTAAAGCTTTTACCCTTGGGTTAACAAACTGCAGTCTCAGCCTTCACCTTATCCTAACGATTGTTATTTCTTTGGACATGAATATGTCAGTCTTTAGCCTGGAGGGAGACCCTTTCAACTGGGGCATCCTCACGGTCTCTAAGGAAATAAATAGCAGAMGACCAAATTCACGTGTGCCAATTAAGTCAATCTTTAATGTGCAGCATTTATGCACAATTGCTGCTAGCACCCCGTGAGTGCTCACAGAAACCTCACTGGGCATATAGGCAGCATATGCTCGAGTGCCTATGTACATTCTTGCTGTTGGGCTGGGTGCTAATTTTGCATTTTCTGTAAGACTGCTCTGCAGCTTGAGGATCACTTCAATAGTTGCCTGGTCCAAAGCTTTCCGGGCTAGCACAGCAGCCAACTCTTGTTATATATTATTATATATTGTTATATATCTTGTCCTGATGGCAGAGTCTTGCCATATGGGTCAAATGGTATAAATCTGTTGACCTCAGAGGAGTCGCTGCGGTTTATCGCAATAAAAGAAAAATATGAGCTTGCTCCTGCTCACTTAGATTGTGCCTTCAGCTGCTGAGATCAAGTCTGTATAGACTTTTAAAGGGAAATTTCTTACAGTTCTTTCATCCAGAGCCCTGCTGGGAGGGACAGCACCTTGGCAGTGATGGCTTGTTACCTTGCTCACCTTGGAAGGCTCTGCCCAGCCTTTGCTCCTCTAGTTTTGCATTGACCCAGAGGCAAAAGCACCATTCGTTGCTCCAGCTCCACTTTTAAATTCTTCCCAGGAAGAAATTATGGGCAGCATCACAGAGACCTCTGCCCTCCCTGACGGATAAAAGCTCTATCATCTTGGATAGCTTGTTATTCTGGAGCTTCCACCTTTGGTGCATRAGTTTTAGGCTCTTTCACTTGCAACCAGTCATGTCCTGCAGAGAGAAGAGCATTTATGGCCAGTGCATCTCTGACTGAGTGGGGCTACTAGTTCTGACAGCTGTCAATGCTGTTTCCTCAAGTCAGACATCATTAAAGGGTTTACATCAAAGAGGCTGGACTTTCTTGTGGTGAAGTTAGACTCTGTGCCCTCCAGTGGAGCGTACAGCAGCTTGTCGGTGTTGGGGATTTAGGCATTCAAGTCCTGTTTGAGCGCTGGATATTTGAGTCTGATGAAATCCATCAAGACTGAAGAAGTTCTCGTCGTTTTTAATGATGTGAGAAGGTGATTGAGCAAAGGGATCCACGTTCCTCCTCTGGTTGAGTCTGCTGTGGCGCTGCAAGAAGGAAAACTCAGGGCCTCAGATCCTCAAAAAGTACTGTCTGAAAGATGCAATTAATAATGCTGCTTATTCATACAGCACCACAAATACCCCTAAGTACTCTTTAGAGTCAACTGACTTGCATGATCTTTACTCTGAAGAGCCTGGTTGACTGGTTGACKTTCACAGCCTTCCTCTGCAAGGGTGGCTGTGCCGCAGCAGAAGCCACTGGAGGTGGTTTGAGCAGCAAAASAGGCAGGATTGGGTGTGAGGTAGAAGGAGTGATGAGAGTGTGAAGGAAGCATGGGTGTGAAGGAAGCGAGAAGCATGGGAAACTGGATTTGTTTCTTCCTGATGCTGCTCTCTTGAGTTTGCCTTCCAGCTGACATTGCTCTTGATCCCAGGCTYTCTCCAGGTCTTCTATATCCATATTAAAAACCACAAGCTTCCAGCAGCTGTGGCTATACAGGAGTCTAACACTACTCTGAGCTAATATATTTTTTAATCTTTTTTTTGGTCCTTTCCGCTTGCTGCCGGGAGCAGAAGGTCCATCTGGTGAGCACTGGGGAAGGCCCGGTTGTCTACGTGCATCCAAACAAGGTTGACTTTGGCCATATCCAAGTTCTACAAGATGTCTCCCGCATGCTTCACCTCTCCAATCAGACCGTCATCCCTGCGTCATTCAGGGCACAGATGGTGAGTGTAAGGGGGACTATTGTCAGAAAAAAAACAAAAACCCAAAAAAYGTGACTGGTCTGCRACAGCCTCTGACCTGTTTTTTATAGACAGCTTTTCCATGCTATTATCTTGGAGCAGAAGCAAAATGCTTCTTGATAACGTGGTGCAATGAGTTCTGGTTCTGAGCCCCGTTCTAGCTGGTGATCCCCTGATAATGAAGAGAATTTGCCTGAACGTGAGAGCAGATGTGCCTGTGGATCATCTCTGATTTACTTTGTTTTATGTAAGGCATTTAGGTCTGTTAGGGAAGTTTTGGAGCTCTGTGAGAGAAGAGCCCCGTGGTCCTTTGCTGCTGCAAGGATATGGATTTCTGCACAGTTTCCTCACTCTGCATCTGCTTTGCCCTTTGCTCCTCAAATTCCTGTTATCCCATCCTCTAGCTTATAGGYTATGTCCTTAAACCACTCGTGATGAGGTGAGCTTCACACCTACTAGGCATCACACCATTTTTTGCAGCCCAGACATGTCCATGGGGAGCAGAAGGGGCTCCCTTAGCTGGGCTGGGGGTGACTTGAGTGTYTTTCATTCACTTGTGCTTCCCCACACAAGCCGTGTGGGCCCCCAGATGCCAATGCTGCTGCCTGGACTTTTCTTATTTGGGGATCACGGGRCAGTGAGCTGCGATTTCCTTGTCTCCCATTTGATGGCTAATCTAGAAACTCATTGTATTTGTGTTTGTAGTGGGGTTTAGAGCTCACGGTGGCMCTTGAAAGGAGCGGGTATCGATCGCAACGTTGATAAAAGCAGCRGATCAGCACTGCTGTAATGCACTGACTGGCAGCTCAGCAAAGTGAATGAGAGCAGATTAAAGGACCACTGAGCTGGTAAAAACTGGGGAAACGGGTTCAAAACATCAAAGGAAAGTGCCATAATGCAGTGGGGTGTCCCCCCTGCTCCCTTGGGTGACTCAATGGGAGCAGCACTGAGCATCTCCAGGCCAGAATGGTGCGATTGCACCGCAGTGTCCTGGGGGCACAGACAGCTTTTCATAAAGCCTCCCCTCCAGCTAAAATGGCAAGTCAGGCTGAAATAAAAAGAAAAAGACAAATTTTCAGAGTTGTGTATTGAGATTAAGCAGCCTTCTGTTGGGAGTGGTTGTTGAGGACCTTCCTCCTGAGAGAATGCTGGCTGTCAAAAGCTAACAGCGTGCAAGAAGCACCATGGAGCTGAGGTACCGTCAGCGCTGTCCTCTTGTTGAGGCCTGGAACAACATGGAGAACTTGGATCGGAGGTTTTCCGTGGGATGCTCCATCACCTGCCTGGCAGGCGGATTCTCTCAGTGCTAAAGCACCAGCTTGAAAACATACAGGTGTAAACTCTGTAGATCTGTTTGGTCACGTGTGCATGCCCATGCCTATAAGGTGCACCAGGCTGGTACGTTGGCGTGCAGGAAACCGGCTTCTGCCATGGGCTGCTCAGATGTGGTCGCCTTCCCCTTCTGTCCTCTCTGCCTCCTGCTCTTCCTTGGGTTGCATGAGCTCTTCTGAGCACAGACCTGACTTCCACCAACTCCTGGAAAGCTGCTATTGTTGCTTTATTATTATTATTAATATTATTAATATTATTAATATTATTATTATTAATATTATTAATATTATTATTATTAATATTATTATTACTGGATCAGAGCAGCTTATTCTGGGCAACAGAGCTGCAAATGGTGCCTCAGTGATGACCCCCAAGCAGTCACTGGCATGGAGGTCTTGAAGTGAGTGGCTCTCAGCAGCACTTGGGATTTGCCCCAGCTGTTCCTGTACTTGCTGCTTTCCCTGGAAAACRCGGAGCAAAAGGAAAGGGGCACTGGGCTGAGCTTAGCCCTGCGGTCTTTGGGATACGGCAAACACATCGGAGCTGCTGCTTTGTCCTCAAACCGGGAAAGCCCTTGCGTGCTTCCCGTTCCTGACCAGCTTGTGCTCCTTGTCCCRGCAGGACAACTTGGATCAGTGGTGTGGGGAGGTGGATGACGGAGTTGGATTCCCTCCCTCCCTCCCTTCTCCTTGATGCTGCTTGGGAGCTGCTGGCAGCTTTCCTTAACAAGTAATGATTGAGTATCCCAAGGAAAGGAGGGAGGAAATCGGTAAGTGATCCCTAGGGAATGGCTCAATGGCTGCCAAATGTAGGCAGTTAATTCAGCGAGTCCTGCCCAGAGTTCTCAAGGCCGTGGGGATGACCAGGGGACTTTTCCTCAGGCTCCCAGTGGAGCATGGGGTGTCACTGTAGTTCTCTGCTTCCCGCTCCCTGCTTGCCAGTCTCTCTGCAGCTCTGTGCCCTTGGGAATCCTGTGGATCCTGTGAGGGCCAAGGATTATCCCTCCTCTTTTCCTTTCCCCTGGGATGCTAGAGGAATAGGTCAAAGCGGGAGGAGCTCTTGCAGCTTGGCTGGAGAAAGGAGGTGACCTGCTGAGAGAAGGTGACTGTTACTCCTCCTCCTTGCCCCCATCGTCATCTTTTCCCCCCTTCCTCAAATACCGGGTGATTTTTGCTGTATTGACAGGTGTGAAACGGTGGTATCGACTGAGGGAAGAAGCGGTGGCTCTCGCAGCGGGAAGGCTGGGCTGTGTTAGCAAAGAGCCCCTTTGATCATTGCCTGTGTCTCCCTCGTCTCTCCGGCTTCTCTTTGTCTCTCCGGCTTCCCTTTTAGCCGCTCATTAGTCAGGACCTCTCTTGGCATCACCAGTGGTGCCGAGTCCATCAAATACAACAGGGCCTTTGTGATCAGGGAAGATGGGCCTGGCATGTGGTTCGTTATACCCAGCATAACCACCAAGCTGGGGCTGTTAGGAGCYGCTGTGGGGTGGAAATGCTGCCCTTGTGGTGCCCAGTAATTGGGGAGGAGAGAAAAAAACCTTTCTTGGGGTTTCTGCCCCTAACGATTGGACTTTGCTCCCTGGTTCTGAGGGTCCTGTCTCCTTTTGAGCTGATCTTCAACCTAATCTTCAGGGCACTGCTCTGCTTTGAAGGCATCTGGTAAGCCTCTGGTGATGCCTTCTTTGTAAGTTTACTATAAACTACTTTATTCTTTTTTTTCTTTTTTTTTCCCAGGCATCTGAATAATTAGCTGGTTTGTTGGAGTTTTTCTTCTTGCAACCCAAGTAGAGCCATGCCCTTCCAATGTTTGCAGTCAGAGATCTGCAGTGCTATTTGGAAGAGAGTGTTAAATTGGCTTTCTCAGGTGTGGATGGCGCTGACATAAGGAGCTGTGGCAGGGGAAGGGGCTCGGTGCTGCAGGTGGCTGTGCTGTGCTGGTTCCTTCCACCATTTGTCCCTTGGCAGCTTGAGAAGACCCACTTGAATCAGCAATACCCATTCTGTGGGGCTGCTCCTGGCCCCGGCCTGTGTTCTCCCTATGGCATTTATAAAATGTTGGGGACCAACTCCTGAATTTGATTTTTGAACACAGCAAGTCATTTGGTTTTGGTGCGTGGGTTTATTTTATTTATTTATTTATTTATTTATTTATTTTTGCACTAGCTGTCTCCAGCTCTAGGAAGATGACATTCCTGCTTAAAAGTCTAGGGCTTTACGTGGTGGCAAACCATGGATGGGCCAACTCGACACTGTGTGAGTGCTCTGTCCTTGGGTGAATAGCTTGGTCAGAAATACAGCTGTATTTGGACTATCGAGTCTCAGAATCACGGAATGGTTAAGGTTGGAAGGGACCTCCAGAGATCATCTCGTCCAGCCCTCTTGCTCCAGCAGGGACACCCAGAGCACGGGGCGCAGAGTGGCATCCAGACAGGGYTGGAAGACCTCCAGAGAAGGAGMCTCCACAGCCTCCCTGGGCAGCCTGTGCCAGKGCTCTGGCACCCTCACAGTGAAGARCTTCTTCCTCACATGMAGATGGAWCTGCCTGGGTTTCAACTTTATATCCATTGCCCCTTGTCCTGTCACTGGCCACCRCTGRGAAGAGCTTGGCCCCTTCCTCCCTRCATTCCCCCTTCATGAACTTATACATGTTRATCAGATCCCCTCTCAGCCTTTTCAAGTTCTGCTTCCTCTTTGGCTTGTGCAAGACTAGAATGTCCAAGTGCTTTTAATTAACCAGCATTAAGCAGCTTTAGGAGAACGAAGGTGATGGCTCCCCAGATGCTCCTTAAGGGCTGCCAGCTATCTCACAGATCCATGCCCGTGGTCACTGTAAGCAGATCTGGGCAGCTTGTATTTGCAATGGAAAGCTGTCCTGGGARAAGCAAATGATCTCTGTCAAGTTTCTTGGCTAAATGGTATATCCAAAACATTGGTAGTGCTCAGTGGCTCTGATGCCCAATAAAGCAAGATCCTATGGGGACAAAAGAGCCACCATAGTTGCCTATTCTGTGCATAGAGCTATTGTGTTGTTTCATGGAGCGTTTGGCAATGAGCAAGTGGGATGTAACTGTGTTCAGTACTGTGTTCAGTTCTGGGCACCCCAGTATAGGAAGGACGTGGAGCTTCTGGAGAGGGTCCAGAGAAGGGCAACYAGGATGATTAAGGGAATGGAACATCTCTCGTATGAAGAGAGGCTGAGYGAGCTGGGCCTGTTTTCTCTGGAGAAGGCTGAGAGGGGATATGATTAATATGTATAAGTTCAGGAAGGGAGAATGCAGGGAGGAAGGGGACAAGCTGTTCTCACTGGTGGCCAGCGATAGGACGAGGRGTAATGGCCACAAGCTGAAACAMAAGAAGTTCCGTCTCCAGGTGAGGAGCAACTTCTTTACTGTGAGGGTGACAGRGCAGTGGAACAGGCTGCCCAGGGAGGTTGTGGAGTCTCCTACTCTGGAGGTCTTCAAAACCCGCCTGGATGCCGCCCTGTGCCACATGCTGTAGGTGTGCCTGCTTGAGCAGGAAGGTTGTACTAGATGATCTGTAGAGGTCCCTTCCAACCTTAAAAAAAAAAAAAAAAAAAAAAAAAAAAAAAAAAAAAAAAAAAAAAAAAAAAAATTAGGTTTTGCCCAGCCCCTAAAAATTTTTTTTTTTTTTTTTTTTTTTTCTTTTCCCCCTTTTTTTTTTTTTTTTTTTTTTTTTTAATCCTCTCTTCAGCTACTGGATCAAAGTTATGGCCAAGATCATGCTCTCAGCAGCAGAATCCAGGTTCTTGGTGCACTTCTAGTACGGAGCCAGCTGCCTTGCTTGGTGGATGTCCGAGCGCTGTCTGTGTGACTCCTCTGCCCCACACGCAGTCGTGTGCAGGCAACGTGACACTCATGCTTAGCCTTGATCCTGTGCAAGAAGAGAAAATATGACAATTTACTCACTTGTTTTTTATTTTGGGAGCAGCTGAAGACTTCCCTGGAGTGATATAGGGAGTCCAGCAATGAAAACCACTGTGTCTCCAGGTAATTGGGTCACAACAGTACCCTGACCAAGTGATGGTGGCCTCCACTTAACCCCTATGGTCCACATAGTGGATGAAAGGAGGTAGTGACCCCATCGGGCTCCAGATTTCCTCCTTCTGGGACCCAGCCTCCATCTGTGTTGGCAGAGCTGACCTAGAAACCTGAGCTCATCTGCCTTGGCAGAACCTCTTGGTCCTGGCAGGTTTCTCTTTGATGATGCATCATGCAGCCCCTTGGACCTACACCAGCTGCTCACYGAAGGGATGAGGGCAAGATGTGGATCTTGCTCCTCTGGCATCARCTGTTGGTCTGCCAGGGCCCAGTGGGTCTGCAGTAGATAACGCTGGGGAATTCAAACCCTGGCTCCATCTGGACAGCCTCTCATTTCTCCTTGGTGATAGTTTCTCGGGTCTCATTTGCTGCCTGGCTCATTGCCAGGCGTTGATAAATTAGCCTTGTCAGATAGCAGACTTGCAGCTTCACCTCTGGAGCAGAGCTATGAGGGCTCCTTTTCAAGCTAACTACCCTATGTCAGCATGAATCAGAGGAAAAGTTGTCAGTGAAAATCTCACACCCCCTGGCTTGCTATGGACGTGCCCTCTGGAGAGCCTTTGGCTGATGGCAGCCCAGTGGGTCCCTTGAGACTATGATCGGCTCCACAGGGAGAGCGGGCAAAGGGGAGGAAGGCTGGTGGGGTGACATGTGGTGAGCTCAGTCTTCTCTCTCCTACCTGCTTGTGGCTGCATTGCTACTTGGTCGTCACCTTTGGGTGGTGCTTGAATGGAGCTTCAGGAGGTCCAAGGTGGCAACCGGTGTCTCTGGGCCGGCAGGGARGCAGGCTCTGCTCATGAGCCTGGCTCCTTTTGCCATCTTCATATCCAGTCACGTGCCCTCGGTGGTGGGTTGGGGTTTCAAGTGCTGCTGCTTCACCKTGCTCAAGGCCAGGAGATGTCTTGGGTGCCGAAAACAAAATGAAAGGTAGCCAGAACTCAAAGGCCATGTAAGAATATTACCCTATGAGATGCCAGCCGAAAAGAATGGAGAATTCACTGCAGCCGATCTGGAATGTGAAAGGTGTGTAGGGATAAGAAARGGCAGGTAGCTAGTGCCTAGAGGCCTGCATAGTCAGCCCGAGGGAAGGAGTTGTCACCTATGCGCTGAGCCAGGACCTTAAACACACAGTTTGTTGTTGCTTCTCTGGTCAGTCGTACTTTAGGGGTCAGCTGAGGGGTTAGTTGGGACGTTTTCCCCAGCTTAGAAGTGCTGCTTTGCTTCCCGAGGCTCTCCTGCCCTAGGCTGGCCAACATCCTGATGGAGCTCAGTGCCACCAGATGGCCACCCAGTGCTGCCAGTCCCAGCAGTGCTGCCAGTCCCAGCAGTGCTGCCAGTCCCAGCAGTGCTGCCCCTGGCCATACTTTGTGGTCGTCCCTCTTCCATGTTTATTGCATTACTATGACTATTTTTGCAAAATTGCAGTTGCTTTCCTATCCACACCGAGCTAATAGAGACATAAATGTTTATAGCGGAATTTTCTGAAGCCTTCAGGCACTGGGAGGCAGCAGCTGGTGATCAGTGGGAACTGGGTGCTCTGGTCCACTGTTGAGAAACACTGCCTTGCTCTTAAGAAAGACGCCTTTGGAATTGGGGGTTTGGATCAACCGCTTTTGCAGAGCGAGGCTCGAGGCCCACAGCAGCATCCCCAGCCAGGCGGTCGCCACAATGGGATTTGGGCAGTGCCGGCCTCCTCTGGCCTCGAGCCTTTCTGCACACCCAGCCCTGGCCACGAAGGCAGGAGAAACAAAGCAGGGCTCCCTTGGGGCCTCCTGCAARTGAGGGGCTGGAGGGGGAATAACCTTCTCCTGAGGATGGAGGTCCCTCAGGTTGGGCAAAAAGTGGGTTAATGAAATGAGTCTGCTAAAGGCAGGGACAGGAGGGGGAATTACAGAAGGTTCCAGAGAGTCACTGTTTCTAGACACTACTGCCACTGATGGTATCTTCATCTTTCTGTCATTCCTCTGTGCTTCCCTTCCCTGACTCTGTGTTTGGCTTGTGTTTCAGGCTGACAGAAGCTCACGCTGGAGGATTGAACCCAGTGAAGGGGTAGTTCCCCCCGAGACCGAGGTGTCCGTGAGCCTCATCGCCAACTTGGACGATACCGAGAAGTTCAAGGACATGGTGAAGTTGGTCGTAGAGAACAACAGCACCTATGAGATCCCAGTCCAGGCTGTCGGCATCGGAACCACAATCGTCACCGACAAACCCTTTGCTCCAGAGCTTGATCTGGGCCCCCACTTCAGGTAGGACAACTCTTGGCTTTCACCTCTCCTACGTGCGTAGCAAGGAGAAGTTTGGCTTTTGTCCTTCAGACTTGTTTTCCTGCAGACCGAGCTACATTTCACTGAAACACAAGCCAGAGGAATTCCTTCAGAAACACTTTATGACTGTTTCAGAGTCATTAWACATTCCCCTTGCAAAGCTTCCAAAATGGAAAGCAGTGACAAATTTGTTACCGATTTACCCTGGGTTATAATACGTTCACTTCGCCACTTTTGTCGAATAAGGATTTGGAGCAAAACAGCATCTGGGAAGCCCCTGGCTGCAAAACGTTAAAAATACGAATGCRTTTCCCTTTGCAATAACACTGCTTGCTTTTTCCCTCGCTGTGGAGCATCATTTCCCACCAGCAGAAAACCTGGCAGGAGCTCGTTAGCGACTCCTCGACTTGATTAATTCTGCTGCCTGCTCTCCAAGCTCTGCCCAGGAGCCCCTGCAGCAGCAACCGTGTTTGTTTTTTGCCTGGTGTCATCCCTCGCTTTGCTTGTCTTTCCTGTGCCCCCGCTGGGCTGCTCTTTATTAGACCTAGTTGCTCATTCCTCATTTCTGCTCCCTGGTTTCCTCCTCGCTGCCCTAATCAAAGCCTGGGCTTCAGGCTGTGGGAGAAATGCCCCCGCTGTTGAAAGCAAGACCAGGAAAGGCCATGGGCTCCAGCTGTTGGGCAGGGTAAATTGGGAGCCTTGATTAGAGGAGCTGAGCTCTGAGGAGAGGGTTCAGTGATGGAAGCACAAGTGTCCCAACCCAGGGACCTCTTGATAAACAGGGAAGGAAAGCAGTACCCTTCCAAAGTGCTCACCTGGCACATGCAGTCAGTAGGAATCGCCTTCTGGAAGTGCTTATTCCTTTTCCCCGACTAKAGGGCAAGTCCACAGCACTTAGCTAGTCTTTGGGCCTTGAGTTAGACCGGTGGAATTCAACCTGGAGTGTTTAGAATAAATATAGGGCTTTAAATGTGCACCTTGAAAACCACCCACCCTGCAATCCAATCCAATGCACTTCAGGAGCTGCACACAGACGGGTGAGTTGGGGTTTTAAAGAGCTAGAAATGAGGTCCAAAATGAGGTCTGCCCAGAGCTTCTCGAAGTTTTGATCTATTGCTGTCCCGAGATAAAACGCCCCACGCTCGCCCCGTGCACATCAAATGCTTTTAGCGGGTTCTTTCAAAGGCTGGTTTGTGCTGGACCTTCCCTTCTGTGTTGGCTTTTAGCTGCTWATGGCAGATGCACGTTTTATAGGCTGCCTATTTTGTGTTCCTTTAAAGAAAAAAAGGTTAAAAAAAAAGAAAAAAGGGAGAGGGAAAAGAGAAAAAAAAAAAAGACAGTAATTGTTCCAGGAACAGTTGCTTTGCTGATCATGCTTAGATTTATAGAGGGCAAAATAATTGCTCCTGACTAGCCTGCAGTTAGTGTTCCTTTATATAAAGGAATCAATTTTCATTGAATGTTCTTCTAGTTTCATATCTGGCTCGGGTTATTTATCCCCTGATGTCACTCTGTCGCCTCAATAGCTAGACCCAGTCCTGCTGCCACCTTCTTCCTGCGAGAGCTTCCAGCGGGTCTGGCTGTGCTCACGGTGCCCTTCTCTTCCCAAAGCTCCAAGCCAGGGCTGTGGGATTAGGAGCTGCCAAAGGAAGGGGAGCAGGAGCTCAACGTGGCACCACAGTGGTCCYGCCTCTTGACGACCATTCATGGACCTCCATGCCTTGAGGACCAAGACATGGACGGGGCAGCTGGGACCAGCTCGCTCTTCCTCTCCATGCGAGATGTGGGGAAACCCTTGGCCAGCTTCCCCTCCTCTTTGCTGCCCTGCAAAGGGTGGTCAAGCCCGCAACGCCACTCAGTTTTCACTAGCTTTCAGAGCTTTCATCTTCTCCCTTCAGGCCACCGAGCTTTATCTAAAGCCTTACTCTAGCTAGAGAGGGAACAGGAAAAGCTGGAGCCCCAAATGACTCCTCTGGCCTTGTCCTTTGGCCAGCAGCTCCTGAAGGGAAGGTGAAATGGCATCAGGCAGCAACTTCTGCCTACAGCCAGATGAACTTGGCAGCGGAGGCAGCAGGACCTGCAGGGAGGGATGCTCAGAGGCCGGTGGTGCCCTCTCCGCAGGGCAGCCCGCACCCGGAGAGGTTGCTCTCTGTGCAGCTTGTCTTTGCAGTATGTGAAGAACCCAGCCGTGGGTGTCGGTAGCCTTAGAGGCAGCAGAGCTGGCTTTTGCCGTAGCTTTGGACAGGTCACATCAGCACAGGTCACGTCAGCTGCGTGACATCCCCCATCTCTGTTTCTCTGCCAGTCAGGAGCCCTGCTATTACCGCTTCAAGATAACGAACCGGGGCCGTCGCACCCACCAGCTCTACTGGACGACAGAAGGTTTCGCCCCRTTCCGCCAGCGGGATCCTCTCCCCAAGGCCAAAGGCAAGAAGTCCCTGCAGAGCCCCCGACCCGCGTCGCCCGTCTTCAAGCTCCGGCCGCTACGCATGGAGCTSGCCCCGGGCAAGACGATGGACATGCTGCTGCAAGGCTTCTCCAGGACTCCCCAGGTGAGGTCCTGCCGGAGACGGCCTTTCCCGTCTCGCTTCCGCTTGGGCTTCAGTCACCCCCTTGGCATTTGCTTGAGAAAATGAGCAGTTGCTTTCAAGAAATGTTTTAATGCCACAAGTTACCATGGCAGCCCGGGTGGCTTTTCTCGCTGGCCGCTCTGAGTTGCTAAGGCTCTTCGTGTTACTATAGCTACCACAAGCCCCACTTGCAAAGAGCAAAATAGGGGCTGAAGGAAAAAGGGCTGCTTCGGGGGCAAGTGGCAGGTCCTAAAGTGTCCCACGCTGATGCAGAAAGGAAAGGCAGAGAGAGGAACTGCTTTGACAGCTTAGGAGTAAGCAAAAAGTAAATAGAAAAATGGACTGTAATGTATTTGGGGGAAGCATCCAACACACCTGTGAGGGGAGGCAGTTCTGGGAGCTTCGTTTTGGCTCTTTGTACAAACACAGGCCGAGGGCTTGTCTAGCACGGAGGCCTGGAGGAGAAAAAGGAGCGCGACGCGTTAGCTGTAATGATCACAGAGCAGCGCCCTCCGCCCAGGAGACTGGTCCCGGGATCATTACAATTGACTGCTCAGCTCGTGTCAATATTTCCATAATGACTCAGCCCGGTCTCGCGCTCGGGCAGCCTCSGCATCCCGAGGGCAGCCGGGCGCGTTCGGGTTGCTCCAAGGGCTACGTGAGAGCTCCAGTTCCCTTCCCAGCCCCCTTGTAGGAGAAATCCAGGTCTGCCAAGGAGCTCCAGCAGCTCTCCCAGCAGCAGTATTTTGGAAGGTGTTTTCGGGAGTTGCTTTAAGGGTAGCTCCATGCAGACTTGATAACCCATTGGCTGTGGGCCTTCCCATGCACTTCTGGATCCTAAGGTTTTGCTGAAAGGAAAAGGCACCAGGAAGGAAATGAAGTGATAGTGGGCTRGAGAAAATGTTCAAAGCTTCTTGTGCTGGACATGTAACACAGCTGACTTGAGTGGGGGGAAGCTCCTCCCTGGAGCTCCTGCCCACTCTCATTCCAGAGAATGGGAACTTCCTCCCTGCAAAGCCCCCAAGGGAGGGTGTGGTGGCCATGGGCCTTTCCATCACCTCTTTCCCTTAATGCACTTCTTAATGTACTTCTGTTATTTTCTTTGCGTTTTACCAGCTTCCTCCAGTTTCCTGGAAGTGTCATGCTTAGCACGGGGATGTATGACAACAATAATCGTTGAGGCAGTAATTAGTGTGATTGCAGATGGTGCATGACTCATAAGTGCCTTCTGTGCAGCGAAGCCTGTGGTGGCACCAAAAAGAGGTGCCCACAATAAAAACAAATAAATAAATAAATAGGGGGAGAGGGTAGATTTAGGTGACCAGCAATTTCATGGTCATAACATCCGCTGTTCACAGACTATGGAGATCCAGTGGCAAGGTTTCCATCCCAGAATTCCTCCCTGTGGATGGCTAGTGTTATCCCGATGCCATTCCGGCCTGGTGACGTGCAGCCCTTGTCCCTGCAGGTGGTGAAGGAGCGGCTGCTGTGCCACGCCATCATCGGCAGCAAGGCAGGGAGGAAGCAGCGGATCATGCAGGCGGACATCACGTGCGAGTTCATCGCTCCCGTGCTGCAGATCTCCTCCAGGGAAATCACTTTCCGGGTGGAGAAGGTAAGTCTGCAGATCACCTCCTGCTCAGCTGGAGAAGCCTGTGTGCGTTTAAACAAGGGAATTAAACAGCTCCCTTGGAAATCTGTGCAGCCTTTGCCATCGGTTTGAGGGGGACCGAGGTTTTCTCATTGGTACTTAAATCATTCTTTCGGTTCCTGCAACCCCTGAGGTCTTGGCTGCTGGTTTCTACAGTCAGTATAAAGGGAAATTTGCCAGCGGCTTCCAAGGCATGGGGAAAACTGAGCRTTGCTCCTGTAAGGAAGCTGAGAGGAACTGAGGATCTTGTCGGCTCCTTGTGCTAACAAGAAAGATTGTTCTCGTCTGCCTGCCTCCTCTGATCTCTGCATTCGTTATTTAGGTTCTGTGTTTCCAGGTCTCTTGTCTAGCTGCTTGCCTTCCAAAGTAGCACAGATTCCTGTGAGGAGGCAGGTTGGCTTTAATTAGATGCTTTCCGGGTATCCCTGATGTCTGCCTGCAGTCTGCTTGATGCCGCGTGCAGCGATTTATTGAGTGCAGTGACACTGCAGCTGGTTGATATAAATGCGTTTGGAACTAGTTTCCCAAGCACTATCTGGTTGATATAAAGCCTCCAGGAAGCCTAGAGAAACACACCAAGAGGAGGAAGAAGCAGCTTAGACTGGAGCGTTGGGGTCTGGAGACAGCTTGTCACAACAGCAAGGGCAGCAGGAGGCACTTTGCAGCTGAGCTGTCCGGCTTCCAGGCAGCAGGATGTGGGTGCCAACATGGAAACACAACTTTAGGCTAATGCATCTCTCCAATACAGGCTGGAACCTGCTCTCTTTATTCCCCTGCCTCTCCTCGCTGCACTTTTTGAGAGCACTTGAGTCTATAAAATTGTAAGAAGGTGCTCTATAGGAGTGGGGATGTCTTCTGCTCTTCAGTCCAGGAGACAAAACTGGAGACAAACCATCTGGTTTCCTTTTCCTTTTTGAGCAGCTGCCCCATGCAAGGGTCCTATCCCCTCATCTGTACATGAGGCAAGGAGTTTTCCSAGTCTCTTGAGGGGTACTGTGGTTTTTAAACATTAAGGACTTAATATAATGAAGTGCTTGATAAGCTTAAAGGTGTCTAGAAGAGCAGAAACCTGAAAGAATAATAGGGGTATCTGCTCTTGGATTGAAAAATATGAAATGCAGCAGAAGAGGAAGGAGGTCCATGATTGCCCTTTCAATTTTCTTTATCCTCTCCTGTGTTTCTGTAGGAAGCCRGTGATGTCCTAACTCCTCAGTATGAGCCTCTTGATTTAAAGAACATCTCTTCCTTGCCAGTCAGCATTATYCTGTCCTTGGAACAGCCCTTCTCCCTCTGTGATGTGCACCAGCAACCCATTGGGATGGGTGGTCAGGTGAGCAGCCTCAGACATCCCTTCTGGTGGGATCTGGAGCAGGATGAGTGGGTGGTACCTCATGGTCTGCTCTGAAGCAGAGCCAGGCCAGACAAGGTGAGCCTTGGGTCTGCAGGCTCACCAGTCCACCCCTAGTTCATGTTGGGTTCCTACATCATCTCCTGGAAAATGAGGGATGAGCTAAGAAGCCCCTGTTGGTGTCCAACGCATCCCTCTTGGATGAACCAACACACCCCTGGTGGTGTCCCAGTTTGAGCATTTGCCCTCAGCCCTTGGAATTTCATTGCTCTGGTGATTGATTACCCTCTTTTCTCTCTTTGCAGGCCATAAAGCTGGAAATAGGGGAGGAACTTCCTCTTTCCATCAGTTTTAACCCTGCTTTTTACGAGGGCTTGGATAGCTGGGTAGCTAACGCGGCCCTGATAATCCGGTTCGTTGAGCACTTGCGCGAGGAGCGCGTTGCCCTCCGCGGAGAGGTCTACTTCCCAAACCTTCACTTTCCCACCATGGCCATAGACTTTGGCTGCCTCCTGAACGACACCGAAGAYGTGCGTTACATCGAGATGACCAACTGCAGCCCACTCCTTGTCCGCTACGTCTGGACGTTCTTGATGGACGGCCGTGCGAGCCAAGTGAGGTACGTGCAGCTTCCTCCTCTCCTCAGAGCTCTTCTCCTTCCCGGTGTGCAGGGCCTGAAGCTCTCTGCCTGGGATCACACGGGTTGCTCCTGACTTGGACATCTGGAAGTAGCACCTACCAGTTGTGTTCAGGGTCAGTGCTTGGGGACAGGTGACTTCCAGCAGCTGGAAGCTGGACAGGAACTAAGCAGGCACCGGGAGAGCCTCCTAGTGCTTCTGTATAGCTCCTGATCCTGCTTTCTTATTTCTGGAGCCACCAAACTGTGCATGGGCTTAGGGTTAGGTGCTTGGGTGAGCTCTATAACACGAGCTCTTCTCCTCCCTGTCAACTCTGTTGTCATTGCATGTCACCAGCCTACACAGGCACTGCCAGCAGCAGAACAAAGCGCTGCTGCCCCAGGTCTCTGGGGTTTTTTTTGTTGTAGTGGCCCCCACACTGGTTCCTCTGGGAAGGGAAAGCTGCCTTGGGAAGCTGGCTTGGGAAGCTGCTTTCTCAGGCTGTCCTGGCCCGAGGCAAACCCCTCCTGGTGAAGCGAGTTGACATCTGTTAACACCCGTGTTGTGCTCACAAAGCACAAAGCTATTTAGCAACCAAACGGTCTGTTGTGTTTTTAGGTGCAGCCGTGGAGGCCAAGGGGAGTCTGAGCCTCCCTCGGGAGCGGTGCTATCCAGGGCTGGCCTGGGCCCTCCCGAGCTCGGGAACAGTCTTGGTGTGGTGCTGGAGCGGCTCTGCAGCCTCCTCCCTAGCAGTTCTTGGCGCCGTGGCCTCCCTGCATTGCACGGCAGCCTTGCCTGGGCAGTTCTGTTAATTACAGTAGCAAATAATTATTACCACGACGCCCTAGGAAGCCTAGCACACCAAACCAGCGCATACTGAAGCGCRGCTGTTCCAAATAACGTGGGTCATGGAGAAACAGCTTCCTCAAGGGATTTGGGATGTGGCCTCAGGAGGAGTCGGGGCAGTGCAGGCAARAAGGGGTCCTCCCAAGTAAGAGTGGGTCCTGGGAGGCCACTGCTATGTGTGGTGTTTTTGGGGACAGACCTGGAAGATTTCTGCTTGTGCAAAGGCAAATCCAAAGCAGATGGAGGGAGGAGGGCAGTGAAGAGCGGAGTAGGGCTGTAATCTCTGCTTTGAAGGCCCCTGTCATCTCCCAGTAAATTAGATTAGGGTTTAATTACAGCCTGAAGAGGAGAATCTAATTCTGATGATAGAACAATGCTTATATTTTATAATAATAGCAAAACAAGCACATTACGGCGAAGCCTGTGTGGAATTAATTTCCTCTGGGAGCGCTCGTTGGCCAGTTGCCTCTTGATTGTTACTTGTGTTTTTTAAAAACCTCTTTATGGCTTCGGAGATGAGGGCTGTGTCCGTTCCCAGCTTTTAATCACCCTGTCCCTACCTCGCTCGGGGCTGGCGCCTGCAGGTGCTGGTGGCTGCTGAGTCACCCCGCGGCAGCTCAAGGTCCTCAGCAACGGGCAGGATGGTGCTCCTGGCTCCAGAGGGCTTTGGCACAGCCCCTTGGCCACCTTGTTTGTGCCGGGGACATTACATCAGCTCCCTTTTCTGCTCCACATGTTAATTAAATAGTAACATACTCTGCGGGGTCCTTGGTGGACACTACATGCTCATCGGCGGCAGAGCTGGAGATGCAGACAGTCTCCAAGCTATTAACACCTCAAAGTGTTCGTTAGGAGCCCAGCAGAAGGCATCAGGTCAGGGAGCCCTTCCCGGTGCACACTGAGTGCCGTGGTTATGGCTCAGCCTAAAGCACGAGCTGCAGTGAGCTCGGCCTGGCCTCGGGGCCCTTGAGCAGCGGGGCCCGGGAAGGTGACATCAGTGCAATGTGACTGTCCCTCCCTTGTCACCAGCACCTGTCGTCAGAGACTGCCGGCATCAAGCAGGTAAAAGGRTGTTTTGGCCAGGAGAAAGATACTGTTCCTACGTGTTTTTTATTATTTATTATTTCTTCCCCTCTTTTAATTATTCATCTCTTTTTTTTCCCCCCCTACTTTTAATTACTGTGCTACTTCCTCGGATAGTCCAGGCATTGCTGTGAGGTTTCTGACTCAGGGCCCCTTCTCTGCCACCGTGAAGCTTCTGAATCTCCTCTTTAGAGCTGTGTGGTTAAAGATGCACCAAGAGCTGAATCCAGACTTGGCACCTACGTGGTTTTCTGCTGGGTTGGATTGGATCTGCAGGGTCACCTGGCAGGAGATGTACGTCCAGATACAAATATTTCCCTGWTTCTTATCTTAAAGGTTTCTTCTGCAAGGAGGGATTGATTTGTCCTCTTTCTCAGGGAGGTATCCTGCTCCTTGGTGTTGTTTGGGATTCCTGTCAGAGCAAAACCATCAAATCCAAGCGATGCCCAGGGCTTTTCTTAGACCTGTGAGGAAATGTTTCTGAAGCAAAGAAGAAATGAGAGAGATAGGTAGTGAAAAAGAGTGCAAGGCAAAAACTGACAACGATGCTCTGCCATCAGAGAGGAGAGAGGCAGCAATGTGAGCAGCGGGCAGTAATTACCAGGCACGCGCGCGTTCGCGGAGCCCCTGGCRTTGGAGGCCTCCGACTGTAGCACAAACCACATTTTCCTCCCCCGGGCTGTGAGGTGCTATCAAGGCTGGGCTGAGATCACAGTCCCTTGAGGCAACGTGTTTGGAGCTTTTGTAGCCTTGTCATGGACACGGATTTTCCTGCTTAAATCACAAGTAATTTAGAGGATGAGTGCTGGAGAGGAGTGCTAGAGTGGAAATGTGCTGGCAGAATGTGTCTGTCAGCTGTGGTGGCCTTGACAGTGGGGGAGAGCTTCTGGTGGAGYGGTGTCATCGGGAAAGGCTCTTTTCTGACTTAACATCCGGGCTCTTGAGCACAGTGCCCCTCGCCACATGTTCTCTGGCACTGTGCCTCTTCCACCACTGGGCTCCTGTCTTTTGTCCACTTTGCCAACAGGTCAGCCAGCCTGCTCCAGACCTGAGCTCAGTGTCTTCTTAGAGCTCATGGAGATGTCACTGCAGCTTTGAGCCGGCTTTTCTTGCCCTGGTGCTTGGAGCTGGTTTCTGACCACACTGATGCCCACCTGGAGGACATCTCCTAAGGTCGAAGCCCCAAATGGATGGGTGGGAACTGTTTTGACTGTGACACTTAGGTTTGCTGGGATGGGGCCTCTTTACATGCTTGAGGGTAACAGACCCCAAGTGCTCTCATTTGCTGTGGTAGAGAGCAGCCCTCAGGCATTGGGACAACAGATTGCAACAGGGAAAGAGAAGGAAAAAGCTTTCTGCTCTTACAGCATCCCCGAATGGTTGAGGTTGGAAGGAACCTCTAGAGATTATCTAGTCCAACCCTCCTGCTCCAGCAGGGAGACCCAGAGCATGTGGCACAGGCTGCATCCAGGCGGGTTTTGAAGACCTCTAGAGAAGGAGACTGCACAACTGGTGGTGACTGTTTATGCTGGTGACTATTTGCTCTGACGATGATATAAGGCTGGCTAACCCATGTCTGTATTTGCTTTCTCAACACCTTCATTACTGAAGACAATCAGTGGGCACCTACATTGCTGTTGCACCACCGACGGCATCGTTCTCCGTGTAAATGCCCTTGACGTTGGCTTTTGCTCCATTGCTTGATTCTAAAATCAAATTGTGCACTCTGTTCTGAGGGACGCTGTGCTGTTGTGTCCTGCCTGAGGAAGAGCATCTGGGAATCCCTGCTGCCTCTTCTGCTGCTTATTCCCCTCTGAGCACTAGGGAAGATGGAATCAGGGTCGCAGGATATGGGATTTACTTGGGTTTGCTCGACCTGCTGATGTCGCTGCACATAGTAAGAACCAGTAAAGCGGCATATCTTAATTGCTCTCGCTGACTATCCCAGGGAGCTTCCTGTGAACCCTTGTAGATCCCTGGAATCTTGTCCTGTGGGAGCCCTTCCTTGGGAGTGGTGGATGGACAGCAACCCATGTTTTGTGTAGTTTAGGATCCCTTGCTCRATGCTCTGAAGGCAGATGAGTGTGCTGGGCAGGAAGAACCTTTCCCAAGATGTGTTCTCACGTGTTTATTCTTCACGAGGGGTCAGGTTGGCTGGACACATCTTGGTGCTCCGTTGTCCCTTTGCATCTCTGAGGAAGCAGGTAATGAGCTTGTACCATGGAACTGACCATTAACAGCAGCTCGGTAGTGATGTTAGTGAATGATGTTGACGGCATTTACACGGGCCTTATGAATTTCAGTGAAAACCACACACGGCCTTAAATATTTGTGTGACTTCTGCTGCACTGACAGACTCTGCTCCTCCCGCACCTGGGCCTGGCGACGGCAGCGACTCAATGTGGGGCAGGTTCAGCGTCCCCCTGGTTTATCGGGGGACGTGGCCCTAAGACCAGCACTGGACACGCCGCAGCTCTGTCCTGTTGGTTTTGTTTCTCTCTCTCGCCTTCTCCCACAGCCGCGGACGGCGGGGAGGTTGTGCTGGCCTGCGGGCATGACTGCCCCTGAGCCTTGGTGACAGGAGACTCGAGCTCCGTGATGGTGGAGACCCCTTCTGGGRTTCAGCAGAAGCAGCTGGGCCGAGCGAAGCCGCTTCTCTCTAGGCCAGGCTCAGGACCTGCTCCCGGCTCCAGGCCCCGCTTTGTCGTCTCCCATCCCTCCTTTTCTTGTCAGGCACTGCGGAGGGCCGGTGACACTGGCTGCCCGGCTGTCCTSCACCTTGGCCTGCGCCAGGGTTGTCCCACCCTGGGCAGGAGGGCCGTGGGGAGCTGGTGCCGGTCTGTGCTGCCCTCACCCCACAGGGAGCCTCAGCAGAGGTGTGAGCCCTTGTCAGCACAGCCTTGTGGATGAAAGAGGCCTCGCAAGCCCCATCCCTGCAATCCCAAACTCCGTCCTGTATCATCTGTTCCACAGACTCCTTGAGATCCAGCTTAGTTTTTCTGCAGGCTCTTCCTTAAAGTCAAGAACATCTCCCTTCCGATGGCCAGGAGCTTTYTCCTTGTTGCCTAAATTCCCTTGGGACTAGCTTGTCCTCCTCRGTCTAGTAGCAGCCTTAGGCTTAGCTAGGTGTTTGCCTCCCTGCTACTTCTGAATGCTTGCAGTGGTCACGGCCATGTCCTTCTTGGTGTGCTCAGCTCAGCACTGGGCCTCATGAAGGCATCTTGCCTGTTACACAGGTAACATGGAGGAGCTGGTCAGGCTCTAATTGCAGTTGATTAAATAGACTCTCCAGATTACACCTGTGAGTATTGACATTTATAAGAATGGAGCTTCTCAAAAGAGCAGGGCTAACTCTTCCACTGTAGCAATATCCTTGCTCCTCTGCTAGTTTCTGCTTTTTAAAAAAGGGAAATTAAACCTTTTCCTCGTCTCTTAAAGGTAACATTTTGACTCAGCTAAGTAAGTTGCTCTTTAAACCGTGTATTAACTATGAGTTAATTAATACTTAGTCACAGTGGGATGGCCCCAGGGCTGCTCACAGTGTTCAGATTAACACCAAATCCTGTTTAATAACTTCCAGCCTGTATAAAACAGAAGATGGAAATTCGGAGTCACTGCAGYGGTTTTGCTTCTGTCTTCTGTCTCTCCACTGCCTGGTTTGAATTTCAATCGAAAAAGTATTCAGTGAATACACAAATCTCATCTTAGCCGAGGGATTTAGCCTGGCATGGGGATTGGCTTCAGTGTGAAACCAAATACCAAGCTCTGTTGTTTTTCCTTACTTTGTTTTCTCTTGTTTACAGAAGAAAAAAAAAAAAACAATAATAGAAGTTTCAGTGTTTAAATGTGTGGTCTGCTGGAGTCTTACAGCTTTTGCAGAAACTGAAAATATTGCAAGGCTTTGGAGGCTTTGGAAGCAGCCCCGCTGTTGGAGCTTCCCAGTGCACTCAGTGCTGGCAGCATTTTCCTCCCTTGCTGTTTTCGCCTCCTGGAGTACAAACCAGATTATTACCGTCTCCCAGGACATAAAACTGGCTAATAAATTTACCTGGGACTGACAGAACGCTTCAGCTCTTCCATGTAATGCAAAAGGGTGCCTGCTGCTTGCCCCTTGCCTGTGCCGCTGGCCATGGGGTAGGAGCATTCCCACCACGGCTCTCACCTRTCCCCACATCCGACGGCCCTTGTGAAGCTGGCAGCCTCGCGTCATTGCCTGTGAATATTCGGAGCAGTTGTAGGAAGTGGTGTGATTTCTCGCTCCTCTATTTTAGGARGAATGTGTTGGAGGTGGTGTGAAGCTTAACGGGCTCGGGTGGCAAACTGGGATGTTTTGCAGCACGACTGGCCACGTGCTCATGCCAGGATGCTGGGGGACACCTCTCGCCCTGGTGTTGGGCTGCCCTCGTGTCCACCTTCCTTAGCGTTGGCTCTCCGTGTRCCTCGCTGAAACCTGGGGCCTTGGAGGAGAAGCATCCTCTTCTTGTCCAATGTGGGGTGTCTGAGCAGCTCGTTGAACCTCAGGATGGGACTGTTGAGTGGCCAGTGTTGGAAGAGGTGGATCCAGGTTGGTGAACACCTCGTTACAACCCCTCCAAACTCAGGTCATCATGCCCAAGTCAGGAGGCTCCGTGTCTCCCCTCCAACGTGCTGGTAGAAGCCCTTCTGTGCCCTTCAGCCCCTTTCTGGGCCCAGGGCATGTTCCTCTCCGCAGCAGAGCCACGTGGCTGCATGAGCCACTTTCTTCCTTTCACTGCCTTTCCTCTGTTCCTGACCATTTGGGGATGCTCAGAAAGTCCCTGCTCATTTCGGAGAACAAACCAGCTAAAGACTGGGCTGGTGCAGAGTACTTTCAGGGTTATCCTCACTTTGTACCCTGCGTGCTCCTTCTGCTTTCCTAGGGCAGCACGCTTCCTTCAGTGCCAGGCATACTTACTGGCTCTGCAGCGAGAAATACGGCACCTCTCTGTTCACACCTTTGATTCCAAGGGCTGYGTTTGTCCATCTCCTCCCCTTGCTTTTGTGTTACACGCCATCTTAGTCATTTTGGCTTTTCCCCACCAGCAGAAGTCACAAACTGTGCTTTGGGCTGCTCCACAGCAGGACTTGCTGATCACGTCATCTTCCCCCACCAGATCCCAGTGGACTTGTGTTTTGGAATAAAAAACACTGTTATTGTCTGAGCGCTGTAGTCCCATAAAGTTGCCTCACACCATTCTGTAAAGCTGAAGGTTGTTTAATAAGTGATTATGGATTTTTCATCTCGTGGCTTTGCCTCTCCTCCGGAGCGGTTATTGACCTGCGTCCTCTCGAAGAGGARCCTCAGCTGCGTCTCCTCACTGGGTCGCGTTGCAGGTAGAGGTTTGGGTACGGCCACCACAGTGCTCACCTGCTGCCAGGAGAAGCTGCTCGTGTCCGTGCTGCTTCTCTTGAAGGCCAGGTCCAAGGTCCAGGCTGGGTCCATGTCAATGCACTGCTAGGACGCTTGTAGCAGTGCTTTGAGCCAACCTGACTTCTTGGTGTGCACCAAAACTGCACCCACGAGCGCTCAGCTGGAGACAAAGCCCAGGCTTAGCTAGCCAGCCGCACAACTAAAGGCAAGTTTTGAGCCAGGAACGTGTTGTCAAAGCAGCTCATTCCTATCTGCGAAGTGAGCACAACCGTTCTTTTAAACATCTCCCTCATTGGCTTGATGCTTGAGCTTGCTAAGCCCATCCTTGTGCTATGAAAACACAAGCAGGGTTACAAACCTAACAGCACAATTCAAAACTGGGGGATTAGGTTCCAGAATCATCTAGAGACACATGTAAATGTGAAGGCGCGTACTTGTCATCGATGGTTTTTGGTCCACCTGTAACCTCAGTGGCTAGTGAGCAGGTTTGTGCATCATTTACCAAACTGGTTCCTGACCAATTTGTATCCACCAGCTACTGGGCACCCTTCTCGAGAGCTCAGACCAGTGGCAACTGGCACGTAGCTTATAAACTCACTGCAATCAAAGTCCTGCCCTTTGAGAGAGAGAGTCCTATAGCTGTCACCTAGCTGTCATGAGAGCCAGAGCATTTAAGCTGCTCCTCACAGACAGGGATTACATGCAGAGCAGCGGGGCACTCAGTCTCATCAAATGTGATCAAAAATGACCCTAGATTCCTGCATTTTGGAGCTAGCAGGACTCTTCCAAGAGCCCTGTCCTGGTGAGAGGCCCGATGGGCTCCTTCCTGGCAGGTCTCTATTCACATTCATTTTGTTTTCCAGGTTCAGCCCTCCCAAACCTAAATATCTCCCTGAGCAGCAATCACTGAAGGAGCAGGAAGGCTGGACAAAGGATTCGGCCACTGTGGAGAGAGACTGCACTGTGAGGTTAGCACCACCATCCTGCACCAGAAGGATGCACCAGAAGCATTCTTTTCAGTGGTGGACAGCGATAGGACTAGAGGAAACGKCCACAAGCTGAGGCACCACAAGTTCCACAGGAACTTAAGAAAACATTTCTTGACAGTGAGCGTGACAGAGCCCTGGAACAGGCTGCCCAGAGAGGTTGTRGAGTCTCCTTCTTCAGAGATCTTTAAAACCTGCTTGAACGCAGCCCTGTGCCACATGCCCTAGGTGACCCTGCGTGTGCAGGGGGGTTGGACTAGATGACCTCTGAGGTCCCTTCCAACCTTGAGCRTTCAATGATTCTATGGCAGCAGGCCCTGGGACACTGCTGCGGCCTGAAAGCCACGTTTCCAGAGCAGGTCCCATCAACAGGAGCATGAAGTGGAAATACAAAGCTTGGAGACTGGCGGCCTCACCTTGTCTTTGCTTTCCTTGCAGACCCTCCGAGGATGCACACATGGAGGCGCAAGCTGAGGACATGGGCACAGCAAGGCATCCTGTCCAAGAGCCTGCAGGCACAAGGGGCTCCCTGGACACGGAGGTAGATGTTCCTGTACTTCCACTGCCCATGTTGTCTCCCACAGCAGGACCGTGCTCACACCTCCATCCCTTCTTAGTATTCTGTCTTTGCAAATGCCTTCTGGTCTGCTGACCTTCCCTGTGAATGTCGCTGCTGTGGAGCTTGACCTCTGGGATAGAGAGTGTTTTTGGGGTATTAAAGCACAAAGGTGCACATGACAAAACAGCAGGGGTTCAGGAAAAGCTGCTGTTAGCCCTAACCTTAAGGAGAGGGGTTGCAGCTGCTCACATCCAAATTCTGGTACTCTTAACACTTCCATTTTGTGATCTTTTTCCTCAGGAAAAATGCTACGCTATGGCTGGAAGGAACATAAGAAGCATAAGTCTTTCTTATGTCCCACTTTGTTGCCGCGTGTGTGCAAATAGATCAAACATGTCYGTGGGAACACAGCCAAAGAGAATACAGCGCAGGCATTGCGGTCACCCTCACAGCAGCAGCTGCCTCTCTAGAGTTCATGGTATTTGTTTTGCAGCTGCTTGAGTCCAACGTTATGAGCGCTGCAAAGACTCGGAGCCTAGAGGAGATGGAGGAACTGCTGCCAGCCAAGGAGAGCGAGCCATTCTCCTTGGGAATAGAGGAGGTAAGCGGGAATCTCAGCAGCTTCCATGTTTCCAGCACGCTACGCAGTTATTTGTCGCAGCCACGACCCATGGTGGCTTGCTGTCCTCTGAGCACACTGTTSTGCAGCTGAAGCAGCTCATTGTGGAGAGGTCACATAGGGCATGTTGACAGGGAAGATGTCATTTGTCCTGTTGTTTTTAAGCAAGTGGCAAATAGACTGTTTCTGCAGCGATGATGAGGTTGGTTCCTTCTGCGTCTACCTCRACGTCCATCTCCTCCTCTGCCCCTAGGTGTTCGACATCCTGCCGCTGTACGGCGTGCTGCAGCCCGGGGAGAGCCAGCGCGTCGCCGTCACCTTCTACGGCCACACGGACATGGCGGCCCGCGTCACGGCGCAGTGCAGGGTGGAGGGCGGCCCGGCCTACGAGATCGCGCTGCGCGGAGAGGCGTCGCTCATCAGCTACGTGTTTGACACCAAGGAGATCGACCTGGGGCTGAAGGTACCGCACGCTGTCATGGAGCCATCGTCCTGGAGCCACCTCTGTCCTGCTGCTCTTCTCTCTTTCCTGCTGTTTTGCTGCTTTCTCTGCCTTCCTCGATGATGGCAATGATTTCTCTTCCTTGGCCGTCTTCACCTCCTCAAGGCATCCATCGGGAATTCCTCCCTCGGAGGTTGTGTTGTATGGGTCCTCCAGCTCTGTGGGAAGCAGACGGAGCAGCTCCACTGCTCTCTGGGGCAGAAAGGAGCCCAGCACCCATCTAGASAGGGAGATGTCCCTGAGACAGCCACTTGCTGGCCTGCTCCTTTAGTCTGAGGCCTAAAGATGGGTTGAGTTGCAGAGACTCAAATAACAACTAAAATAAACCCAGGAGGGAGTTATCTYGGGCTCCCCCAGTGCTGTAGCTGGAGGAAATTTCCCAGGGCTGAATCGCCAGTTGGTAAAGGTGCAGGAAGGCTGATGCCTCCTACTCTGGGGCCTTTGGTGCTGTCTGGCTGGGGAGGTGCCAGGAGCCTCTCGCCAGCCCTGGCCTCCCAGAAATGTCCCGACTGAAGCCTTTGCTAGCAAAATTGTGGACGCTTCCTGCTCCAAATTAAGGAAGGCCTGGGGTTTCCAGTTTCTTCAGCCCATGCAGTGGCCGCCAGGCAGAAGAGAGGTCGAGTAGCACGTGCCATTTCAGTTAAGCTGGGAATTGCACGTGTGGCTTTGCCGAAATGATATTAAAAATGAGTCCAAGGTTAAAAGCAGAGAGAACAGCTGTTGGGTTTCGGTATTGCCACACAGCGCGTTGCCCTGCTCTGCCTTTGATTCCTGCGAGGTTTTTGCAGGGACTTTGGCTGATCCCAAAGCAGGAGCAACCTGAGAACAGCTTCTTGTTCTAAATATTTCCTTGACTCTGAAAAGTGGATTCCCAGCTGTAGCGCTGGGCCTTTAACTCCCTGCTCCTCCGTCCTTTCTCCAGCTCTTCAATGAGGTCTCCAAAGCGACGCTCGTCCTGCGCAACCCCGGGAAGGTGGGATTCAAGTACACGGTGCTAAACCCCAGCACAGCCCCTGCAGCCAGCCCCRTGCCCGGCATGCCCCTGGTCGTGCCCAGCACGGTGAGTTGGGAGAGGGGCTGTCGGTCCATCCAGGGAGATGGGATCTTCTGTGATTACAAAAGCCCCTGCAGCCGGGAGGGCAGCGATAGTCTCTGATGAGCCTGGCGCCGTGGCTGCTCTGCTATCRTATAGCAGCGGGCAGCAGGACCACAAGCGCTTCGGAAGCTCTTTGGTGCCCAGCTCCGTTTGTGCTGACGCTGGAGCCGCAGGGTGCCAGCTCTCCCCGGGGTCACCTTACCCAGGTGTGCGATCGTGCAGGACCTTGTCCTTGCCCGCGTCCCCATCCCCAAACCCTGCCCGTGCGRGCCAGGCGAGCCACTGATGCCCTCTTGCTGCAAGCTGGTGGAGAGCAGCTCTGTGCTGCTATCGCGGCAGCCCCGCGCTGCCTGGCAGGGCCCTCGTCCCTGTGCTGCCCTTGTGCTCGTCCTGCCCTAAGCTCCCGTCTCCGTAGCCCGTAGCCCGGCTGGGTGCTGAGCCCCAGCGCTGGACACACGCAGTGCCCGGCTCCARAGGGCCGGCACACACGGAGGAATGGCTCTAGGGAAGAGCAGGCACCGAGTACCCACGTGGCTTCTGCTCGGCCGGCCAGGGAGGGTCTCCTGCTGAGCAGGGGGCTGCGCTCCAGCAGTTTTGCACTGGTGCATTTGCAGATTGGGAGCTCAGCCTYGCGTGCTCACAGCGAGCGTGCTGGCAGGAGCCACCCTGGTAGTGACATGTCAGTGTGGGCTCTGGTGCAGCACCTAGATGCCCTCACTCGGGCACCGCTGCCCTGCTGTGACTCCAGCCATGTAATGGTCTTGGGCACATTCTCTTCTTCTCTTCCTGCACCCTGCAGGGTTATGTTGGGTCCAGCAAGGAAGAGGTGCTGACTGTTTCCTACCTGCCTGGAGTACCTGGAGACTTCTACAGGACTTTCCAGATCCAAGTGGGTCACCTTGAGCCAGAAAAGATCTCCCTCAAAGGAGAGGGGGGYTTTCCCAGGATCTACATAGACCTTCCCAGGAACATCAAAGGTAAGCGCAGCCTGTCTGGATTCTTCACTGTTCTCCTGTACCATAGAGCAGCTGCAGAGCCACCTCTACCAAGTCTCTGGAGGGTTTGGGACTCTCAGACCAACACTCAGCTTTCTGGTTGCTTCTYGAGCCTCTGGGCTCAGCCTATACATCTGCTGCCCCAAGGAGCCTCCTGATGAACTCGACAGTGGACCTGGAAAGTTTGGAGCTAGAGAGAAATATTTGGAGAAGCTGTAATACAGGCTGGTAGGGATTTTGGCAAGGACAGATTTGTGTCAGGTTGAAGGCAATGTGATGCATCTGTCCGGGTAAGAAGATGGAGGGAAGTAGATCCCAGGATGTAGAAAGGAAAGGAAGCACTCAGGTTCCATAGCTCTCCTCCAGAGTGTGACTTCAAGAATGCTATGGGGCTTTCTGGGGTAAATGGGATCAGTGCTGTTTGAACACGTGTATTTTTGCCTGTTTTTTTCTCATCAGGAAATGTAAAATATGAGAGCCTCCTCAAGGAGGCAACAGAAGTATTGCAAGAAGGCCCTCGGAGAGAGGAAGCGATCATTCTGCAGGAGGCCACGTCTGTGGAGAAGGACGTGGACTCCACGGTGAGAACTGCCAACCTCTCTTGTGTCATTGAACTGAGTGATGCTTCGGAAATGCAAGTTAGTGTTGCTCAYGTTAGTCTGTCTGCCCCACTGTGAAGTTGCAGCACTTGGTGCCTTCGGCAGGGTGCCCCACGTCCCCACTGAGCTACTCCTTAGGGTCTCTTGTGGCATGAAAAATTGCTCAAGGTGGAATGTACGTTCCCAGCAATTGCCAGCCTCAACGAGGATGGGGTGGGATCCTCTTTCATCCAGAAAGACCATGGCTAACCAGCTGCTGTCTTTGCTTTCCTCAGTATGAGACCTGGCTGCTGATGGAAGTGGATCGGCTGCTCATAGAGGAACATGCCCTGAAGCATCAGGAGGCTCTTATCTCCTGTCCCCCGGAGGACCCTGCTGCTGGCCAGCTTGCTCGCCAGAGGCTYGTCAAGTTAGTGGGGACCTGGGGACTCCCATGCTCTACCTCCAGGTGTCTTTGGGGAACTCCCAGGGAGGCACCTCAGCTTCCGAGGCCTCCTTGTGTCTACAGAGCTGGCTGRGAAGAACTGGGGACTGCACAAAGGGCCTGATGCTAAGGGCTTCAGCATACCCCCGGGAGCTGCCGAGTGTCCTCACCCTCCACATTGCTCCTCTTRACCTTTCAGGGTGCTCAACACCTCATAGACAAGCTCTGTTCTTGGAGCTATGGTGGGGCCAGCGCAGACCATCAGTCCCAGCCCAGATAGTGTTGGCAGCATCACTGCTTACCAGCTGTGAAAGAGGCAACACGAGGCTGACTTTCCAATCAACAAACAGACTGTGCTAAGCAAACAGAGCTGGGAATCACAGACATAATAATTTGGGAAAGGCCAGATGCTGAGATGCTGGTGGGATTGCTGTTGATCCTTCCCGTTATTCCCTTCTCCTGATGAGACAAGGGCTTCTTCAGTAGGCTCCRGTGTGGAAGAAGAGGTTCTGAAACTTGGTCATATGCTTTGCTAACTGGGTCTGCTCTGGAAAAAGACCTTCCCATGGATGCTATAGATGTTGACAACTGAGTTTCCAGGCTCAGCAAGTCTGTCTCCTACCAGTGGGAGTTTCCAGCATAGAAATGACTTTGAGCCAAGTTGCTTTTGTTTTGAGGTCCTATGGCTAGCGGCTGAAACCTAGGGCCTCGATTCTCAGTGGTATCCTGTACCAAAGGATAATTGCCAGGCATTCAGGCCTTGGGTTTTACTCTAGAACTGAGCTTTTCAGCAGGGAATGTGGAAATATTCCACTTCATGTGTGTCTTCCATCCGCTTGGAAACGTATCCGGGCTGTGGTTCAGGGCTCTCCCTATTCCTTTCAGAGCTCAGCTGCCCGAGTATATCCTGGACTTGGGCTACGTCATTTTTGGTACTGTCCACACGCACTCCGTGAGAATCACCAACACCGGCCGCTTTCCTGTGTCCTTCCACGCGGACGGACGGGCCCTGCGTGACACAGGTGACGGTGCGGGGAGGCCTCGCTGGGCCTTGAAGGGGTCGTTTGTGTCYGATGGGTTGCCTAGGCCTGTGCTTGGGTTCAGAGTTCATGTCACAACACTTCTGTGTGTCCTTTTGTGAGAAAATAGCGTGAGGTCCCCTCTCGTATCAAAGCAGGCTTCCAAAATGGGCCTCCAGGTAAGGCTGCAGTACCACTGAGCTGTGACCCCCTGAGGCTGAGACATGATGCCTCATTGAAGCTATTTTCCAAGTAGCATCCCTGCGTCAGGGAATCTCTGCTAAAAATTCTCCTTTGGGAAGCTCTGTGCATCCTTCCACTGGGATGCTGGGCACAGGAGTTGCTGGTGCTCCTCAATGGGAATATTCCCTTTTTTTTCCCCTGTGAGCCTTGGATTCTGGTTGTGGGGGGAAGAAAAAAGAAATCTCTTCAGGTAATAAAGCATTAGGTAATAAGGGGAAAAAAAAAAAAAAAAAA